AGATGGGAAGAGGAGTCAGCTGCCAATCTCTGCTTGTCAAGAGTTTTATAGGTGCGTCTGTATATTGTATCACTGGCATAGATGTTTACAAATAATCTGAGTATAATCATTTGTAAATCAGAAAGAGGGTAGCCAAAAATAATGTAATTTCCATCACCTCGGACAAAATGAAATTGTTATCTCAATAGGAATATGTACAATTAAAAAGATTATTACTTAATTATACTAACACATGACAAAATTGATGAATGCAAAATAATTTCTGTTGGCCCCGATCTCATCTACAGTCACTCTCACAAATGTGCCGTCACCTCCCTCTGTCTTTTCTACAAATACTTTCACGGTAACTTCTCCAACGAGCTACTCTTGCTAGTTCCCAGACTTCATGAATTTAAATGTGCAACTAGGCTGGAATCTTGGTTCCACCCTTTCACTGTCAAAACAGTTAAATGTAGCCATCTCTTCTGCTCCAATAGCTTCATGAGTTGCACCTCCCATATTTGGAATTTCCTTCCTATTACGTGTTTCCCTGATAGCTATAATCTCCGACTATTCAAATGTAATGTCAATTGTTAGCTCCAGATACCTTGATCTATTCCCTGTTCTTCTCTTCATTCTTTCCTCTGTCACGCCTCTTTACTCTTGCTCCCACTCTCTGTAACCCCTTGCGTGCTGATGGCATCCCACCTTGCTTGAGGTGAAATGCTTTAAAAAAGTCAAAATTTAATAAAGCAGTTATCTATGTATTATGCAGAAGATAAAAATTTACCTCATAAAAGGCTGAGAGCATGTGCTTTCCAATGCCACTTGCAATGAAGTAAATATACTAGTCTTCATTATGAAACTGAAGCCAACTCTTTCTGTCACATATAACCAGAAGTTTTAAGAGAATAACCTGGATTTGCTAATTTGAATGTCCATATGCAAATCTTCTAATCAGCACACAGAAAGCATTTTTGAGCCAGTCAAAGAGAGCTGTGGCAAAGTTAGCAGACATTGACAGTGACATTTTGTGGACTGTTTTGGGGGAATTCTGTATTTCATATTTAAAGGTTTGATTTTTCTATGTATGTCATCTGTATATGGCTGTGTACTTTGAACATTCAATTCCCAGGCAGGATACCCAGGTTTGAATCTCACCATGATCAGTGTGTCAGGAATGTGACTTCCAGATGTTATCAGTCTGGGGATACGATCCCAGCATGCGGCTCTTTTTGGAAAAGTGCCAGCAAACAGTAATAAATTAACTCCAGCCTTGTAAGCAAGATTGGGGAGACAGAACTCTTCCAAAACCATCAATTGTTTTGTTATCACAAGTCATCACAGCTGAGGGCTTGAGTGCACTTCCCTTGTTTGAATTGCTGATCATGCCAAATTTTTTATCCTCTTAGATATGGCCAGCATGTGTGTGCAGCTTTTTAGTCTTGCTAGGGTTTTACATTGTCTTGTGCATATGTGGCAATGTTTGCTGTCTTTTGCAGTAGTTGTTACATAAATGCCAAATAATGTGCAATCAATAACTTCTCTCTACTTAGATCAAATTTTATAGCAATATTTTCAGGGAAACTAACATCAAGACACTTACAAATATCTCTTGATTGTTTCGTACACAACTCTTACTATTGTACATTGCCTTTCCCCCAGGATGATAATTTGATCTACAGCTAGGTTTTTCCCCACCTGGTCATTTTGAATGATGTTAGCATTTTAAAAAAAATAGATTCAAGGCATGCTATATTTATGGATGAAAGTGCTCAATATTCAGCGATTGTATGTGAAAGTGGACATGGAGCTCAACACTGACCAGTGTTTCATGCTTGGATGAACCTCAAGATTGTTTTCACTTATTTTCAGAACCAACAGGACAAAAAGACATTCTCATCAATGTGATGCATAAAATCCAAATATGGGATGCCGATATTAGAGAAAGAAAAATGCTACAGACAAGTAGACCAGAGAATTTTCCCACAACAAAAGAGGACAACCGGCAATATACAGAAATATCGGAGGACTAGAAATATTAAAATCTGAAGTGAAATTAGCACTGGTTATATTGAACAGAAACAAAGCAGTAGGACCAGATGGAATTGTAATAAAGATGCTGGCAGCCTTAGATGACTTTGGCAATAACAAGCTTAATAAATTAAATATAAAACAGTGGTGAAATACCAGAAGACCTAAATAGATCTATTTTCATAGCACTACCTAAGAGGTAGGTGAAAAGAAATGTGAATTCCTAATGAGCTATACAACAAAACTTATCTGAATTCTGATGAATAGAGCACACAGCAGAATTAAACCAGAAATAGGCAGACAACAATGTGGTTCTACAGGAGGATATGGAGAATACCATTGATGGAACATCTGGGTTTTAGAGAAAATGGATAAAAAAAAGGAAACTTATATTTAACAACAGAAAGGGATAGTTGAAATTTGTAAGACATATGAAGTAAGAGGGTTTGGAAAACTTAACACTGACAGGGCATATTAAAGGCAAGATGGGCAGAGGAAAGTTGTACATCACCTCCATGATGAGCTTGGATATAAATGAATGGCAATGCAGGGATAACAAAAAGGAAAAAAAATTACTAAGTATGAATGGACATAGAACAATTTCTACTACATTTATTACTGACATAAAAAATAGATTGCTAACTGGTCCTAGAAATTTAAATACAAAATACTCTTACCTTCTCATGTTGATATGACATAGAAAGACTATATTGAAACCATTGCTAGGTCTGATGCTAAGTTGGTTCACTCTGTCACACTAGACAATTTCTTTCTCCAGAATCTATGTATCTATAAGTCTATCATTTATCCATATTTTGGATATTGCTGCCACATATGGTCCAGTGCTACTGTTATATATTTAGAGATTTTTGATAAAATCCAAAGAATGAGTAATATTATTGGTCTTGATCTGGCATCTCAGATTCAATTACTTTCCCACTACCATAAAGTTGCATTCTATAAATAGTTTTATTGTAATAATTGTTGGGATGAGCCCTTTGCTATGGGGTTGGGTGGGGTGAGGTATTACTAATATTATCTTGTTTAGCTTCATGTAAATAGTTTTTATTTTCATATTGTAAATACTCATTGGGGCTAAATATCTTTAAGTTTTTTGGTTTTTTTTTTTTTTTTTTTTTTTTTTTTTTTTGGAGGGGGGGCTAGTTTTGAAATTGTTGTTGAATTCTCCTCCCCCACAGACATTGAATTGTAGTTAGGACTTCATGGAGCTTCTGAGGCATTATGGTGGATGAAGTAAGAATGTGTTGTTTTGGTGTAAGGAATATTGTATGTTCAGTATTTGTGGCCAGCTAAGTTTTATGTTAAGACAGAAGACCATCCTTTTCCCCGTTTTGGCCTTGTGCCACATTTTGTAGTTATTTACAAATAAATATCGCTCTTTGCTATGGTACCTAGACTTTATGAATTTAAGTGCAATAGTAGATTAGCAACAAGTTCTCATCAATTTACAGTTGGATTGGCTAGATGAAACCATAAGTTCTAGCAGTTTTTCTCGCATTTCTCACCTGTGGAATATTGTTTCAGTTCCATGTTTTCCAGCTATTGTTCTTGCATGTTAATAATGTTTCTAATTCTTTCACACTCAGTAACCCCTTTGTATCTTAATGGCTTTACTCCCTTGCATGGTGTAAAATGAAAAAAAAAAAACAAACTTAAAAAGACATTTACATTCCAACAAAATGCAGTATGCCACTAAATAGGTTTAAGATGGAGATCCACATACTTTTGTGTTAAAAAATTTTACCCACTTCTACTGGCTTTTGTCACGAGTATTAGCATGTACCCCTAACAATAGCATGTTAGTGTTGCTTGTTTAATCTAACACCAGGAACTGGGCCTATATGTATCATGTTTTCCACTAAATAACACACAGAAATCCCCAGCTGTGCTGAGATGCCTAATATAAGAATTACTATTAGAATGAAGAAACATTGTTTCACACAGGGTTATCTCCTCTGAATGAATTAATTCAGACATTTTGGAGAGAGAAGCTTCATTATTGAAGGCATTTCCTTACTACTAGCTAATTATTGTTATTTTTTTTTTAAGCTTGTGACATTTGAATTTTGCTAATGGTTTAGTGTTAAGATGTATTATACTATCTTGGTCAGGAAATGGGGAGTCATGCCACTGAAAGATTGGCCATTTAATAACTGCTGAGAGACAATGGAAATTGGGTTAATCGAAAATGTAAGTGTGATAAACTAACTTGTCAAGTTAAATGAATTATGGACGATAGCAACTCATCTATAATTTTATTTTTCATTATATTTGCTTGGTATTTCATTGTATTTAACACAAAATCTGAAACTATTGTTTCTATGTTTTATAACACTATATTTATATATCTGTACATGAGTGTCTGTGTGCATATATATATATATATATATATATATAATTTTTTTTCTTTTTTTTTTTTATTAATTACACCCCAAGCAAGCAATAAAGCTGCTAAGATGCAATTGTTGTGAAACACCCAGAGAGTCTATCTTTGGTTTATATTGCTATAAAATTTGATCTAAGTAGATCAGGCCACAAAAATCAAAGAAACTTTGAAAACCATTTCCTATCCAGTATTGTATTTAATATGCTTCTATTCCTTAGCAATTATTTTGTTAAATTTTTTAAATTCAACCCAAATGCTCAATTCCTTTCTTTTTATGTGCCATGTCCTTTCAGGACGTAGGCAATCATGGTTCTCCACCTCCCTCTATACCTTACAGCTTTAAACAAGTTCCTTCCTTCTGCTTCATCCCCCCCCCAAACCATCGTTCTGTCATCCACTTAAGTTTGTCAGGTATGTCATGCATTGTTTTTCCCTTGTCTCTCTTTCCCTCTATTCGACCTGTGAGCATCAGATTCTCCAAGATCTATTTATTGTTTTTTTTGTTTTTTTTTTTTTTTTTTTTTTTTAAATAATATTAGCCTCTCTTTGATTTATTTCCAGCTGCTGATCTTTGGAAAACATGAGCATCTTTGATGATAAAATTATCCTAGCAACAGCTGCTGCAGGGGTTGTTGGAGCCACTGCACTCATCACTTCAAGCTACATGTGGTCGAATCATCCAAAAATCAAGCCTATTGGCGACATCAGCAAACAATCGGTAATCTTGCCGGTAAGAACACAAATTAGTCATTTTACTTTTTAACATGGAAAAAGTCTTCATTCTCATTTTACATTGTCAATGAACAGAAGCAGAAGTGATTTGGAAATATCATCTGTTTCTTCTATAAACACCATCATCCTCCATGTCCCCTTTCAGGACATGAATGATCATACCTTTACACAACTTTCTTTCCATTATAACTCTTAACTATTTTCACTATTGTTTGCAGCCCCAGTTTTGCCATCAAAAACGTTTTTCTTCTTCCCGAGCCTCACTTGTCCCAAATATAAACTAAGGCACAAACAAACAAGGCTTTTAACTTCAATGGGAAAATTTAAAAGCCTGTAACGGCATTCACCCAGGGTGGGTTGAGCACTCCAATATTGGAGTTTCATGGGAATTTGGAATCCACAAGTGATCCCCAACCCGCATGTATAGCACATGAGATATGATTATAGCGGTGAAGGTTTTGTGCAGGACCATCCACACTTTTTGAAGGGCCAATTACAGAGAGCTGGTGCACTAAGTGCCACAAGGTCCCCAAACAACCCTCTGCAGGTTTTGAATTTAGAGTTTTTCTTCTCCTAGACCAGTTGCCATCCAAGGCTATAAAACCCAGTCTGTCCTGCTATTTACCCATAGCTGGAGGGAGAAGAGGATTCACACCTTTCCCAAGGGTATTAGCATGTAAGTGAATGTAATGGATTCGACTGGAATTCAAACTCTGCTCTCTGATTCCTCAATCCAAGCCGCTGTCCATTACTCCACCGTGCCTCCTCAAATTTATATTAAAAAAAAAAAAAAAAAGACATTTATTACACAGCATATTAAAACAAAATATAATATTTCACAAGATGGGCTTGCACAAAAAATTTTCTTTTGTGCATCTTAAAAATCACAAGACATAACATCAAAAAATATTCAAGTGATTTTAAATATGAAAACAATTTTCAGAAAATGAAAAAACTTTGAGAAGGTAAGACGAAATTTGAATTAGGCAGATCGTTTAAAATGAAAGGTGCATCCACCTAATTATAAGAGAAAAGAAAAAAAAATCACAGAATGAAGGAAGTTTTGGCAATTTCATGATGACACAGGGACTTTTATAATTTATCTTTTACAGAACACAGTTCTATTAACAGATTTGTGTTTCTTTCTACATATTATTCTCAGGTGACAACCAAAACCCTTCTCTGTATCCATCTTTGTCAATACAGAGAATGTGAGTGAAACATCTCTGGGTGACATGTGGCAATTTGGAGGAGGGTGGGTATCTAGTGCCTATGTGTTGGGTTGGTTGACTGAGATTAGTCGGTAACATTTGTAGTTGTCTTTATGTTATTTCAGATTTTGAGATTTGTTTTGTGGATTGGATGTTATGCTTGGAGATCCTGTGCAGAGGATGGCTTTTTTTAGTGTCCACGTTCATCTGACATATAAAGTGAATTAGGAGAGAGAGTAACAATAGTACAAATGTATAAATACTATAAATATATATACAATAAATATAAATAAAGGGTTACATTAAGACAGATCAAAGTCTGCAGTTATTGGTGCAAATTTATTTATTTCTCTATTGTATCATGTTATTTAAGTCATGGAAATTGTATGAAAAATATTGCCCAAATGTCTGCCAAATCTGAAAGAAAAAGAAAAAAATCATTAGACACTTAAACTTAATTCACATTTAAAATCGGTCAAGTTATTGGAACACTCTTTACTACAAATTGTATAAATTAACAATAGTACAATTGTTCAATTTCTTAGGAATTAGTGTCTTCTATGTGTTATCCCCGAACATTTTCATATTTTTTATATTAAAAGCATTAGTTATTGTATTTCTCCAATTTTCAGACTTGATCTCAATTATTTCATTAAACAATTGTGTAAAAAAAAAAAAAAAAAAAAAATACAATAAAAATTAATCATGGACTTTATTAACTGAATTTAACAAAACTTGTTTGGAGACATAGATATAAAGAATGTTTTTGCAACAACAAAAAATAGAAAAAAAAAAAAAACCTGACCTTTGTATTTGTAGAAGATAACTTTTAAAGCAAGCACTCTGTAAATAACAAAAAAATAATACTTTTGTAAACACTTAATATCAAGAAATAGAGCTTTAATAGTAAACAAATAAAATATAAAGTTCAAGATTCATCTTCCAGACTTAAATTTTCACTGCTTATCTGGGTCTCAAATAGTTCAACTGAATTTGTTAAACAGATATTATGTATTCGTTAAAATGGGTTAGACAAAAAAAAAAAAAATTAAATCAAAAAAGTAAAAACAGTTTTGAAATAAACTGATATCAATTTATTGATTTGTGCTTTTAACAGCATATCAAATTTTTGGTAGGTTTATTTACTCAGAAAATGACTTACTAAGTAAGTCCTACTAATTAACACATAGAGAGAAAGCGAATTCATAACTTTCCCAAGGTTATTTGCATATAAGTTATAACGAACCCGGCTGAAATTGGAACTCAGCTCTCTGATTTCTGGTTCCAAGCCATTTCCATTATACCACTTAGTATTCCCAAGTGGTCATCCATCTATGTATTGACTAATGTTGCTTAACCGGTGATCATATGATCACTGGTGTTTCAAGTTGATATGGCTGTAAACAGAGTTGATGTGAAAAAAGAAATTTTTTTTTATGTAACATCTTCTAAATGATATTTAATATATTCATTTGAATGGTCTATGGGGAATGGGTTTCATCTGTAAAACTTGAAGTCAGGAAGACAAGTTTTTAAACTTTTATCATGTTTCTTACTTGTATATTTGCACAATTTATTTATTGGGACCATTCTGGATGCTGATTAAACTAATTTTCATTTCCATGCCCTTTTCCCAGGATGGGTCACGAGCAGCACCAGGCCATGAAGAGGAGGAAAAACTCATCAAGTCATACAAAGGGGAAATTCATACAACATATGAATGTTTCCAAAATGGACTGAAACTTTCTCGTGAGTAGATTTTTAATGTTTCTACACTCACACACGCACGCATATATTAGTAATGGATTTTTATTTGTTATTCCAATGGATTTTATCACTTTTAAACTTTATTCTTAGTGGATTCCTATATTTGAATAGACACTCCATTTATTATATTAAACAGTATATTATTTATTTATTTCTACTGTCCTGGTTATTCAAGAAATCTTAAAGAAAAATATATGCTCTCAGGCAAGATTTGAAACTGCATCCCCGCTGGGAAGATGGAAGTATTACCTTTGATCTGTGATGAACAACATTAGCTTCTTGTCACAGATTATTGAAATTTTCATATCTGCTTCATTTGGTATCCCAAAGTAAACAGTTGTTTTTTTTTTTTTATTTATTATACTTTCTAGATTTTCAGTGCAACTGTAACTTAATTTTAGGGTGTTTGTATTAAATATGTTCGGGCCAGTTTATGGCTGCCTCCTCTCCTGCTGTGTGTCAGGTGTCTCTTTATGTACAATTTTGAAAGGCTCCAGACTGCTTTACACAAAACATTTTTATTTTCTGATTTTCTGTTTTCTTTTTCTTTTCTTTATAATAGAATTTTTTCTTGTTCTAGTTGCAATACAGTCTTTTTTTTTATATGAGACTTCCATTTTCATTAGTTGAGATATGTATATGATAGATAGGTTTTTAAGGAAAGCAAATGCCATATTTTAATTTTTTTCATATTTGGACATACCACAGAACCTCCCATCCTGATGTTATTTTTTTCCTTAAGTTTGTTTTGTAAAATATTCCATTGCATTGTCATATTGGAGAATGACACTTTTTTTTTTCTTAAAGCAGGACATTTTGAGGTAATACTTCATTTACTCCAAGTTGCTGGCAAATAAATGTCTGTAGAGAGGGTCCTTCTACTAGCTTCTAATGGATATCTTTCATATTCCAAACACAGACTTCTGTGAATAGAATCCTGGTTTTGGTGTTGACACTGGTTTCTCATTTTTCTGCTGACATTAGAAATTCATTGGTATTTCTGTTTAAAAGACTACTGCAGATATTGGACTATTGTATCAATTTTCAAGCAGAGCCTCAAGAGGAAATCAAATTGCGTCTTTGAACATTTCACTTGTGATATTCAACTGAATATGACATTGGAATGTAGCAGTGATTCAGCACAAAACAAACACCAGAGTATATATGAGAGAGAAAGAGAGATGTATGCAACAACAAAACAATGTCAGAATAATATCTGCAATAAAAATATACATTAATGTTTTACAGCTAAAAAGAAATATTTCAGTATATGTTATTTAGACTAATTTCCTCATTTGTTTCTATTAACACATTTCAGCTGTTGCATCCTCTGGTCTTCTTAAGGTGTCTGTCAATTTGGTTACCTATCAGCAAACTTCTAACACAACCCTTTATTAGACCTACAGAGGATAGATTGTACTAATATCTACACTTTTAAAGGGTTCAGGTAAAAAGTTCCTGAAGTTTAACTGGTCTAATGCTTGAAATGTTGTGATAGATGAATGTCCTTTATTTTTACTAACTGCTAATAATATAATTATAACTCCTCATCTGAGAAATTCTAATATTTTATGTATGTCTATTGTAAGAAGATGATTTTTTTTTTTTGTCAGAATCTCTGGGATAAGGGGTTATGATGATTTACATGCAGACTTGTCATCATTGTACCCTCAGCCTTCATCAATTGTATGTCAATCTGGGTAACTTACAGGGAATTTCAAACTGAACCCTTTATTTAATTTATGGGGGTAGATTGTTCATGTTCCCTGGCTGATGTCTATGGATATCACATTTAGTACTATTCAGTTATTGCTCACCCTGTTTCCAGCAAGTACATACTACCAAACCCAGGAATTATGTCACCAAATTTAAGAACCAATACTTTCATCCACTAGGCTTTTTTCATACACCTGATGAAGGCTGGAGGGAACAATAGCCGAAACATTGTAAGAACAACAAAAATTAGGACAATAGTCCACATGTAAATAAGACATTTGTTTGCTTTTTTTTTTTTTTGATATTTTCATGATTTATTCTTTGTAGGTCATTGTCCATTTCTTGGAGAGAGAACTGGACCAAATAAAGAATATGAATGGATGACATACCAACAGGTTTGTTACCAAGTATTGAATAACTACTTTTTTTTTTTTTTTTTTTCTTTAAAATCATTATCTCCTGACTAGCTTAGTGCTTGTCATATTTTTTCATATTCCAATCTGTGACTTCACTGGTTTCATATTATATTTTAAACTTTGGTGATTTTAAATATTCTATTTTCAGTTCCAAATTTTCTAAATTAATCAAAAATTCACAGCCTGACATATTTATCTTGTTTTGTTATGATTGAAAATAGTTTCTATGCTAAGTAAAATAAAGAATAAATAGTGTGACATAGTAATTGTGAGTTCAATCACTGAGACAAGTAGCACTGTAAACAGGATGAGCAATAACTGGGTAGTTATTTATTTTTTTTTTTTTTTAAAATAAAATCCCTAGACATGGATAACTGAATGTCAGATATATATATATATATATATATATATATATGATGCAATGAGAATGAAAGTAATATATAAATTCTAAGGTTCACAACATTAATCCTAAAGAGGGCTCAAGATTTATATATATATATATATATATATATATATATATATATATTGATTGAGATTATTGCTTACATCCTGGAAGGAAATAGCATTTTTTAAAAATAGAACATTTCATTATTGCTTTTTTTTTTTTTTTTTTTTTTTTTGTCAAATGATTCTCTTAGTAAATTTCTAAAAAAAATAAATAAGACAAAGTAAAGATTGAAATTTGCATAACTTTTTACTTTTTTTCCCCTCAAATACAGGTTCATGACAAAGCTGAACGCATTGGATCTGGACTGTTACAGCTCGGAATTAAACAAGGATCAGAAAGTTTTATTTGTATTCTTTGCAGTAACAGACCAGAGGTAAGATCAATTTGGGAAAATTTTTATGCTATTGTTTACCTTATACATTACCCAAGAGCCATTCAAGGTAGTTACCGACAATGGTTGCTTTGTAGATATAAGAATTGTAGATTATAATGGATATATAGGTGAAAGAGAATTGAGGAATCGGAGCCAAGTTCAAATTTCAGTTGAATCCATTACATTCACTTACATGCTAATACTCTTGAGAAAGGTATGAATCCTTCTCTTCTGCCCCCTGCAGGACAGACCAGGTTCTATGGCAACTGGTCTACCACAGAAAGAAATGGCAACTTACTGTAGGAAAAAAAATCTGCCTTGTCAGTCATGTATTGAAATATATGCTCCTATATATATATATATATATATATATATATATATATATATATATATATGGAAATTCTTGATTAAATCCAAAGAATCAGCAATATTATTGGTCTTGACCTGGCATTTCAGCTTCAGTCACTTTCCCAGCACTGCAAAGTTGCCTCCCTGTGCCTTTTCTATAAATATTTTCATGGTAATTGTTTGGCTGAGCTTTTCGCTATGGTACCTAGACTTTGAATTTAAGCACTGTATCAAACTAGTGATGAGGTCTCATCAATTTACAGTCGTGTTGGCTAGATGTAACCGTAAGTTCTATGCTAATCGTTTCTTTCCTTGCACTTTTCACTTGTTAAACTCCTTTCCAGCTCCATGCTTTCCAGTCAACTTTCTTCTAAATGCAATGTCAATTGCTATCTACTGTCTTCCTGATTGTTCTCCTTCCTTATTAATGTTACTGTTTTTTAATTATTCCACATCTAGTAAACCCCTGTCTTACTGGCTTTACTGCCTTGCTTGGGGTGAATTCAATTAAAACAAAAAGAAACCCCCACTTTTCTCATAAAACCAAATGCATCAATCTCTTATGTAAAATGTGTAAACTAGTTTGCTATTCTCCATGGTTAAAAATTGCTTTGAGTAAAGGAAACCTATGAGTCTTGGTGAAGACCTTGTAGACCGATTCTACACTGATTGAACAAAGAAAGAACTTTACCTAGCAACAAACCACTTGAGGACTTCCAACAGCAGCATCTAAAAAATGATAGCACATGTAACTCAAAGGGAAAATAATAACATAATCAAGATGTTAACGTTTCATACTACTTCAAACAAAAGGTTAGGAAGGAAACACCCAATCAGTACTAGAAAGAGCGATAATAGCTACTAGACCTAATAAACCCTGTAGAAAAGATTTTATAAATTGCAACTGAAATTAGCACCAGCTGCTTGGTCAATAAATGTCAAATCTTTCTTTATAAGGAAATGACTAATATCACAATTACCACCTGTTGAAGTAATACTAATACTCACTTCTAGCTGTTTTCTTACCTGTTTTCTATGAAACATTATCCTTCTAACATAACAGTACAATCACAGTTTTAAAGCTATTACATTTGTCATAACTTTAGAGTTTCAGAAATAAGGATTTATTCATTCTATTGATGACAACAGTTATAATTTTTGAATTTCACTGAATCTTTTTTCTTTTAATCATACAAGGCAATAAAGCCACCAAGATGGAAGTGATTACTGAGTGAAAGAATATGAGAAAAAAAAAAAAAGACATTGAGAGAGGACAATAAAAGAACAAGATTCAAGGAAACAGAAGATAATTGAAATTGCTCATCAAAAGTTGAACCGCAAAATTGACTGAAAAACAAGAGGCTGGAACAGTCCTGCAAACAATAAGTTCAAGGGTAAATAATTTGGTATGGAACCTATAGTTACATCAAACCATTTCAATGGTAAAATGATACTGACCTTCCAATCTAGTACTGTGCTTATATTCAAAGTCAAAGAATTGATGAGGAAAGCTCCTCAGAACAATTACCATGAAAATATTTATAGAAAAGGCACAGGGAAGCTAAATTAAGGCAGTGAGAAAGTGACTAAATCTGAGATGCCAGGTCAGGACTGATAACATTACAGATTCTTCTTTGAATTTTGTCAAGAATCTCTAAATACATAGAAGCACCAGATCAGATGTGGCAGCAATATTCAATCCATTGATGAATACCAGACTTATATAGGTACAAGATGATAAATTTTAGCAAATAAAACGTCTAGCATGACACATGGAAAATGTTAGCATGAGAAGGCATAACATGTCACACTTCTGGAAGTTAGCATCAGCCATACTGATGGAAGGCAAAAAGGTTCTAGATGCTAAAATTTTATTTTGGAGGTATTAAAATTACTAATCCATTTCTTGCCCCCAGATTGTAGGTTTTGTGTTTTTTTTTTTGTTTGTTTTTTTTTCTTTTTTAAAGATCACTTACCAATTTGACCTTATCAAACCTATCAAATTTACCATTAAGACAAGTAATGATCTTGTCATGATCATAGATACCAAGTCAAGAACTGATGATATTGGAAAGGTTATTGAGAAAAATGAAAAAACAAAGTATGCCCCAGGATAGACCTGGAGGACTTTAATGTAAAAAGATCTGGAAGAGTGGCCATTTGAAGGCACTTTCATTTCAAAATTACATAATGTTTTAAGCAATAAAAACGTCTTTATTGTTAGCGGATACCTTTATTAGAGTAGACCAAGATGTAGGGGTTTACTGTGTTTGAAAGAATATAAGAAAAGGAGAAACATTATTAAGGAGTGAGAACAATAAAAGAACAAGAATCAAGAAGATAACAATTGACATTTCATTTTAATTTTTGAAGATCAAAGTTAACTAGAAAGTAAGATGCCAGAATAGAGTTCCATGACCAACAAACTGTTAGCATAGAACTTATAGTTACATAAGTGTTTTTACATTGCAAGCACTTTATTTGATAAATCCTTACATCTGAAGTGTTGGATTTATTTTCTTCCTAATTATTGTCTTGGAGGTGGGGGTAAAGACCCTACTATTGGGGATAACTAATTTGTTTTCAAATTTTGTAGATAGTGTTAGAGAGTAGGTTTATGAATTTTGTGTTATTGGTGTTTGAAGTGCTATCAGTGGTATTTAACTTTTGGAATTTGTGAACTTTGTATGCTTGTTTTCTAGCATTGAGGATGGAATAATGTGGCTAGTGAAAAAGTCTAAATATTTTTTCAATATATTTCTCTTCTATAATACAGGGTGTCTCCCCCCTCAAAAAAAATTGACATCATTTAAAATGTGAATATCTGAGTAACTACATGTCCCATGCAAATGAAATTAAACAGGCTTCATGTTAAACAAAAAAAATTTATTTACCAAAATTCAAGCAAGATATTTAAAGGTATGTAGATTTTATAACTGATTTCACAAAGCTTCAATATGAGAACCACCTGTGACATGACACATCAAGTCGGTAGTCCAGCTCCTGCCAGACATAATGTAGCAGGTCTTCATATCCATATTATTAATTAACTAGCAGTCATACCCAGCTGGTTGATCAGAAAAAGCATTCAATTAGAATGGAGCAAAAATAGCATCATGTTTTGATGTAACAGTCTATCTTCTTCAATTACCTTAAAGTACTTTCATTAAAAAAAAACATTTTGAATTAATGCAGTTACTGATATAAGAAGTAGTCTGTAATTATTCAATCGACGCTAGCCGAGAACATGAAGTGGTAAAACGGGCAACATGAAGACCCACTTCAGACCACAATTATTTTGTATTTTTTGAAATTCAATTTGTCAGTGTGCTACCAGGATACATTTATAATGCAATTGTTAAGTTTGATGAAAATTGATTGAAAGACCAATGAAGAATAAGACCAAAACCAATTAAAAAAAAAAAAAAAAAAAAAAAAATTGTTGGCCACAAGGCTAAGTTTAGGGAGGGTAGGGGGCATTTTTCAACGAATTTTGACATCCGTTCAATGCATGTCATCTGTTTTTTTTTTTGTTTTTTGCTTTTTTTTTTTTTTAGCGACAAAGTTTTTTGGCATTTTTTCCGTTAAATTTGTATACTTAAAGATTTTTTCTAAAAGGGGTGTTTGGATTAGAATGTTATATTAAACTACAATTTTCAAATATTATTTTTACTCTTAATTACTAATATTTCTTTTTTAAATCAAGTAAATGTAATAGAATTACTTATATTTGATATGTAATAATTTTTAAATAATTTAAGTATGTATATTACCAGCACCCATTTTTTTTTTTTTTTTTTTTTTTTAAGTATTATTTAAGAAACAATGTCGGCAAAGAATAACTATTTCAATTCTTTGATTCAATAAATTTTTATCTTTTATAAACTTAATATATAGTTTCTCATGCATGCACAAAGGACATTGGTCATTTAATGACCTACATATTCTAGCTTTTATTAATTTCCATTTTACTGTAGGTGTTTTATTGGTTTCTTTTTATATAATTAAATTTGAAGTTTTTAGCTTCGGTTTTTGAAACATGGTAATTCCTGTGTAGCAAAGAAACCATATTTTAAATCAGTTAATCTATAATATTTATGCTCTGTAAATTTACATTGAGCACTGCTTTGTAAAAATATCAATAAGAACACCAGATTATATATCTTACTGTTCTTTCTTATATATATATATATATATATATATATATATATAAAAATGATTAAATTTGTCAAGTGTCTTCATTTTATTATCTGTTGCAGTGGACCATTATTGATATTGGTTGCACCATGTACTCCATTGTTATGGCTCCACTCTATGAAACTCTTGGTTCAGAGTCCTCTGCCTATATCATCAACCAGAGTTAGTACTTTTTATTTTCATTTTGTTTTAAATAAAAATTATGATTTGTACTTTTGTTTTCTTTTATGCAGAGCATATATGACAATTTGTATCTACCATGAAACTTTGGCACTGATACCAACCACAAAGCTTCCAGCATTTGTACAACTCCAGACTTAGTTTGTGAAATAACCTGTAGATCCACCGTAAACCAGACTTTTTTTTAACCCAAATAACAACCATGATAGGATCATTTTTTTTTTTTTTTTTTTTTTTTTTTACAAAGGCAAGATGCTCAGAATAAAGGATGACTTCAATGTAACCTCTACAACTTGTGAATATCAGTTTTTAACTCCATTTAGAATAACTATTGGCATTTTAGATTAGTTTGATAGCCAACTTTTAATATACCATTGAAGCCAACATAATTTTTATTAGTCTGCCTCCAATCTAAATTACTTAATTTTTTGTTGTTTTAGAAGACCATCTAGAGACTAGTAAGCTACTTTTACAAGCCCCTTTTTGTAAATTCTCTTATCACTGGATTATCAACCATCATGGTGTTGTGCCATGATAAAATTGACCAAACCTTTCAAATGTCTCATTTAATAGGATATAAATAGTAACATAATACTGAATCTCTATTTTAATATTTAGAACTAATACTGAATTTCATAGAACACAATAGTCTGTGCCGTTATTATCTTGATCTAATGTCATTATTAATAAAATAGCATCTATGTTTCTGAGATGAGGTATTGTAACTATTTACACTTCTTGGGGACCCAAGAAAACGTGCTGGTTGAAGTAATCCAATGACTTGTACATTTGTGAGTTCAATATCTGACAACAGCAGAGATGAACAAAAACTTGGAGAATTAAGTTACTAAAGAGAAATAACTGAAACCGAGATATCCAAAAAAAAAAAAAAAAAAAAAAAAAAAGGCATGGCACTGGAACAGTCTAGAAGGGTTCAGTTTGAAATTCCAATGTATATCACCTGAAGAAGGCCAGAGTGTACAATGGCCAAAACATCACAAATAGGGCAATAAAGATGAGGATAACAGTCCAAATAGTATAAATAACAAAATAGCACTTGTTATTAATTTTAAATTTCAGGTTGACTATATGACATTATGATATGTGAATGCAACAAACTTTATTGGAATTCTGAATTGACTCTCGAATTTGTCATTCTGAACAACCCTCATATATATATATATATATATATATATATAAAAAAAATTTTAAAAATGATGGAGCATATTCATTTTTTTTTTGTCCAACACTTCTTTAGAAAGATTTGTTGGAATAACAATAATCGCAAGAAGCTTATTAACGCCAATTTGTTATTTTTAGTAATAAATTTATTTTAGTCATGGCTCCTTATTTATCCCCGTATTTTTCAGTTACACCATTTTGACTATTATTGTTACAATAAATCTTGCTGAAGAAGTGTTGGATGTAAAAAGCTTCCTTTAAAAGAATGCACTCCATCATTTTTAAAGTCATATATAAATTCTCCTTCCTTGGAAGGAGGCAGGGTAGAGTAATGGATAGTGGCTCAGATTGAGGAATCGAAGACCAAGTTCGAATTCCAGTTAAATCATCCTTGGGAAAGGTATGAATCATCTTCTCCCCCAGCTATGGGTAAATAGCAGGACAGATCGGATTTTATATATATTTTATTATTTATAAAAAAATTATAACATAAGTATGTTATAAAATCACTACAAAAATAGCCATTTTGTTTCAACACCCTCAGTGTCTTATCAAGTGATGATGTAGATATATATGTGTGTGTGTGTGTGTATTTGGGCAGCAATCCCTCTTTTTACAAGTTTTTTTTTTTTTTTTTTTTTTAATTGAATGCGTGGGTCTTTTATGTGCGTCCGAGATTATAGGAATGTTTTATTTTACAAACACTGTAAGCACACCGAGTGAAAAGCCAACACTCAATAACATTAACTACAAACACATCCACAATGTGCTGACCGCATTTGGCAAATGAAACATTCCTATAACTTACATATACATAAAAAAAAAAAAAAAAAAAAACACCACACATTCAGTTAAAAATAAAAATCATCCTCGATAATGGCTAAAAGAATAGCCAAAAGCAGTCAGATATGCAGAACTTTTGGACAGTTTTTGGACACAGTGTGTAAAAACTGTCCAAATCATAACCAAATCATATTTGCAGTTAGTCTGACTGTTCAGTGTTCTCACAACTGAACTGTTGAACTCTCATACATTGAAAACTACAAAAGAGTCCACCATATATATGTGTATGTATGGCCAGATTTGTGACCTTATGAGGCCACCTTCTAACTTACCCATACAAGTTTGTTTTTTTTTACTCATGATATATTTTAGTGACATTTATATAGCATGAAGTAAACTTATTAATTACAAATTCTTTAAATAAACAAAAATAGCTATCTTTTGGATGTCAATAAAATATTCTTTAAGAAACCAAATTAGCCAATATTTCAACATGCTCATAGTAAAAATCAAACCGATGTTTTATAACAGGCATTATAACAATAAAACAATCAAAATAAATGAGTTTGTCATATTGATATCATTTCAGTTTATGAAACCATTTAGAAATTATAACACCTAGAAAATTAAAATCATTGCTTTACAAAAGCTTGAGTGAGGGGCCCTAAGCTGCAGCCTATACTAACATAAATGATAATCTGGACCTAATGATATATATATAAGTAATGTGGCTTAACTGAGAAAGTCTTCTGTGGCTGAATAGTCTGCACCAGTCTTAATGATTTCCCCTACAAGTGAGATGCAGATTCAATCTCTACCAAAAGACACCTAGTGTTGACCTCAGTATCCCCTTTTATGTTTGCTCATGCTATATTGAGCACTTTTATCCATTAAAGTGTGTGTGATATATATATATATATATATATATACACACACACACACACAGTGTAACCCGGATATAAGAGAGATTTTCTCTGGTCCCAAATTAGAGCCTGTGTTAATGCATATAAAATAGACCAAACATGGATATAAGAGAAACCCAGATATAAGAGACTTCTTCTCTGGTCCCAACAACTCTCTTATATCTGGGTTACACACATATATATATATATATATACATACATACATACACACACACAAGTAAATTGTTTAAAAGATTATATAATGTATAAAATGTATTCTGTTTCTTTTCTTAGCTGAATGTCCCTTGATCATCTGTGAAGATGAAGAAAAAGCTAAGCTTTTGCTGAAAGGAGACAATGCTATTAAGAGTGTCCAGTACATTGTTTTGGTCAAACCAACAATGACTGACCATAAAGAATTGATGGATCTGAAACCTAACATCAAGTTCATCACTCTTTCAGAAGTGGAGGTAAGTCCTGTCTGTGAGCAGAACCATGATCTTTTTACAGTTTCCATCCAATGCAATAGCATAGCAGAAGGTGAAATCTTTTGATATTTGCTAGTTTTATGTTTGTTCAGGAAAAAGCATGATGATATAATGACATTTGTTTAAAATTTTCTATCTTAAAATAAAGGAACAGGCTCACTTTATATATTTTTCATCTCCAAGCAAGGTAAAGCTACTAAGATGCAAGAAATTCTTGAGTGTGAAAGAATGATAGAAAAAAAATATATTGGAAAGAGAGACTAATTTGGTTGGTTGTTTTTGATTAGTGACATGCCAGAAAAGTTTTCTTGTCAGTCCATCTTGCATATTTACAGATTTGCCATTCATCTGTTGCCATTTCTTGTCTGATGCTCCTGCTATTCATCACAAAGTTCTTGACAGAATCCAAAGAAGGATCTTTAATGTAATCAATCCTGACTTGGCATGTCAACTTCAGTTACTTTTTTACCGATATGTCATTTCCCTCTGTCTTTTCTACAAATATTTTGATAGCAACTGTTTTGATAAGCTTTTTTTTTGGTACCCTGTCCACATGAATTTAAGCATGCTACTAGATTGGCATTTAGGTCCCACCCATTTACTGTTGAAATAGTTAAATATAACTACCACTTCTATGCCAACAGTTTCTTTTCTCACACTTCCTGTCTGTGGAACTACTTTCCATTTAGTTGCTTTCCTGATAACTACAATCTTCATAAATTTAAATGCAGTTTCAATTGCCATCTTCTGTGTTCTTGAATCCCGTTCATCTTTTGTCCTTTCCTCAATCATCCTGTTTTTTCTCTCAGTAGTACACAGAAGGTTAGACCCTCCATGTACTAATGGCATTCTGACCTTGCTTGGCGTAAAATAAAAAAAAAAAAAAAAAAAAAAAAACTATGGGTTATTTAATGCCAAAATCTAAATATTTTGTATGCAATTTTATTTATTTATTTTAATTTTACATAATGGCTTCCCAGAACAATTAAAGAACAGAAATTAAGTATATAACAATTAGCATTGCATTTAAATTTTTGAAGATCAAAGTTGGCTGGAAACAAGAAGCAAAGAGATTTCTGCCAGAGAGAAGTATGAGAGAAGAAACTGTAAGCATAGATCTTATGGTTGCATCTACCAATTCCAACTGGAAAATGATGTGACCTATCTCCCAATCTTATACTATTTTTAAATTCATAAAGCCAAGATACCACAGAGGAAAGCTTGTCAGAACAATTACCATGAACATTTTTATACAAATGCCACAGGAAAGCTAAGTAATGGCAGTGGGAAAGTGACTGAAGTTGAGATGCCAGGTCAGGATAAATAACATTACAGATTCTTTTTGGGGATTTTATGAAGTATCTCTGGATACATAGCTGAAACACAAGACCAGATGTGACAGCAATATTCAATGAATGGATGACATTTTTTGTTAACTATGGCAAATCACTATTGTTTTCGTAAATTCCTATTGTTATTCACTTCACTTTCATTTAAACAAAAGCAAACAGTACTGAACCATTATGTAATATTGGTCCTCCTATATGGCAGGGAATGTTGGACAAAGATGTAGAAGGGACTTTAAGCAACAGAAATGTGGTTCTACAGAAGCATGCTGAGAATACCATGGACCGAACATGTGGGAAACAATGAAGTTTTCATAGAAAATGAAAACAAAAGGACATTTATACTTAACATTACGAAGATAGTTGAAGTTTCTAGTGAACATAATGAGGAAAGAGGGCTTGGAACATTTGATACTCACAGGACAGATTGAAGGGAAAGAGAAAAACAATGCATAACCTGCCTAGCAAAGTTTTAGTGAATGGATGGTAGAGCAGGATTTGGTTAAAATGGGAGAAAGAGAAAAGATATTAAGAGCTACATAGGACAGAAAATTGTGGAGAACCGTGATTGCCAATGTCCTTTCTGTCCCCCGCTATGTATTAATAAATTGTAAAAACATTTTTTTTTTTTTTTTTTTCCAGACTTTGGGAGAAAATAATCCCAGAGAACATATTGTAAGTATAAAATTTTATCATTTGTAAGTTCATCTTTTGTATTTTTTTTTTATTCTTCATTTATTAAAATTCATGCAAAACCTATTTTTGGCATTTTCTTTGACAACTAATCCTTTTTTACTTTTTAATACCATTAGCCTCCCAAACCAACAGACCTGTTTTCCTTGTCGTATACAAGTGGATCAACTGGTAAGTATTTATTGGATCCTTTTTTTTTTTTTCTGTTAATAAATTGGATCTTTTGAAAAAAAGTATAAAAAATATTTTAACAATCTATTTGAGCATTTTTATATAATACTAGCTTAAAAGTCATACTCCACCTCAAAACTAAAGTTACCTCTGGTTTAACTTAGAAAACAGCAATGATAATTTTGAAGAAATAACTTTGAATTTCTTAATTCACTCCATGAAACTTCAAAACCTCACTTTGATTCAGGCTATAAATCCAATTTTGGCCAAAAGACCAATTTGGGTCAAATTCAATTCTTCAAATCAAAAACTCCTTGTAACTTTAAGTGAGTCAAGTTCTTTAAATCACAAACTCTACAAAACTTCAAAACCTCACGTCATGAAACCTCACTTTAACTCTGATTCTTTAGCATTTTGAAGAAATAAAATTGGATTTCTTCAATTCACAAACTTTTGGAGATATTTTAAACTTAATTTAAAACAAAAATTTTTAAATTTAAAGTTTTTGTGTTACTTTTAAGCACAATATAAATTAAAAATTGTAAAATCACTATTTTTTTTTTTTTTCCAATTATCTTAAAATTGGATTTTTTTAACATTTCGCCACTTATCTGGACACAGATGCCAATGTTGGATGTTCAAGCACCAAATGAAGAGCAGATCTTCAATCCTGAGTTCACCCTGATTCCAAAATGGTATAATATATCTATGTAGAACAAATGTGGTCTGAGTTAAAGGAGTTTCAGACACATGGACGAATAGACAGAATTTGCTGTTTATTTATTTGGAAGAAGACCTGTTTAAATTAATTATTTTCTTTGTCTATAAATTTTGTTTTGTTTGAACTGGAAATTATTTACTATAGACTTTTCTATTTGTTATTACTTTTAAGTCTCCTTGACATTCACTTCAATGATTCTAGCCAAAATTTCTTGGCTACAAGTTAAATAATAGGACATATTGGGCTCTTCAGTTTTAGTTGGTAACCAGTCTACGAGAAAGAAAACTCAGTTGTGGATCTCAGTGTGGGAACATGTGGTCATCTAATGGAAGGAAAATCCGCCACAGAAAACCTAACCCTTCCTCATATGCTCTTCATTAGACCAATCACCTCACTGCATGGCATAATTCAATTACAGAAATCTCACTAAGGAGGTCTTGTATATCATGAGGCACCAAGCAAATAGCAAAAAAATTTCATTAAGAAATGATTTTGATTGTAAGAGTTGGCATGTCAATATGCATTTTTTTTGTCTAGATTTTTATAATCTTGTTTATAGATACTAACATTTTTTTTTTTTTTTTTAATAAACAACAAAGCTAAAAATGCATTTCAAATAAGATTTTTTTCAATTTTGGGAGGTGTTTTGAATTATCAAATATGCCAAAAATGCTAGAAATTTTCCCATTTAACAATGATCCACAATTAGGTACACCAGTTGATTGTTTAGTAGTTTTTGTTTAGTGGCTTATTTATCTGTGTGGATTATTTAATGCCAAAATCTAAATACCAAAATTCAAACTTTATAATTTAAAAGAATGACATTATTTCACGATTAAATTATAATTACTTAACTTATTTTTTTTTAAACAAGTGTTACAATCAAACCAAATTATTTTTTTCTAAATTTTTTTTTTTGTTTTTTTTGGGGGGGTGGGGGGGTGAGAATATATGCCAGGTCTCCAATTTTACAATAAAATGTATTGCTGGTATTTTTACTATAAAAATGATTTTATACTTTCCTAATGTTTTCATTTTTGTTTGGAGGGGGTGGTCACTATTTACCCATAGCTAGGACTCTAACAGGTGCTACCACCCTGGATCAGGGTGGACCTGGGAAAAACAACAGCAGCAGTTAAGAGGTAGTTCCACATTCCTCAAAACTCCCTGATCAGAGGTGCAGTTTGTCATACCGAGGATGAGATACACCAGTTGAGATAGTGGCTGAGGTAACCTTCAAATAAAGACAACATTATACATTGCAGGAGATAGCCAACAGACTCAAAATATCCATATCAAAATAAGTAGATGTCTCATTGTGATGCCCTTATGTGTCATCATAAGAGTTTAAGTTGTACATATATTAGGAGACACAAAGCGCTACTCTGTGTTACCACAGTTTCCATTTGACTCAGAATAACATAATTCCCCATGTATAATATGCATTTTTTAAAAATAATAAGCAAAATCAGGGGTGTGTATTATGCACAGCTACAAAAAAAAATCTTTAAAAAAATTCCCGTAAAATAAAATAAGAATTATCTTAAAATTAAATTAGAATATTTATTCTATGGTTAAAACAGTTTTCTTAAATCAGAGTAGGAAACACTAGCTGTAATGAAAATGGAGAGGTACAATTTACAGCGTTTAATTACCAAATAAGGGGTGCATATGATGTGTGAGTAGAAGCATTTTCCCCACACTTTCAGTACAATTTTAGGTGTGTATTATGGATGAAGGCAATGGGGAATTATGGTAATTGCATAATTAGTTCAGTGCAAAGGATCTTTTTGCAGGATGTCATTTTGCTGTTCAATGCCACAAATCTGGTTTGTTACATTCTGTCATTGATCACATCCAACATCTTACGGCTGAGGTCTTCACCATGACACTGGCAATGGTTACTTTTGGGTGCTATGCCTTGTCAAAGAGGCAACCTATGATTTGATCTCAAGGTCACATATTGTTTTAAATTCAGAGTTGTCCTCCTCCTTGATTAATTGCCAACCACAGCTAGAGAGTCCAGTCTACCCTACTATTTAATACATTGCTGGTGGGAAGAAGAGATAGATTCATGCCTTTCCCAAGGGTGTTTTGTGCATAAATGAATGTAACAAATTCAACTGGAATTCAGTCAGCTCTCTTTCTCATTCCAAGCCACTATCCACCTACATATCTATCCATATTAAACACTTGCACATTTTGGCTATGTTAATCACTTTGATGTATGGCTTCCATATAAGTGAAAAACAACCTAATAGAGCATATTTTCATGTAAATTTGTTACTTAAACATAACAAATGTTCAGTTTTCTGATTGGTAATGAAAAGGGAATATGCAAGAGAATATGGTCAATTCAAATGAATCTCCAATTACAGTATTAAAGGCTGGTTTTCACTCAGACAATGATGCAGTGTATATTGGATGACTGGAAGGGAGTACTCAACAATGAGTTCATAGAAACAAATGAATGATTCAAAGTACTGTTCCCTATTAGGCCAACTAAAAACAACAACAAACAAAAAGAATCCAGAATTAGCCAATCAATCAGGATAACCCCAGACTGCATGGTTCTGGGGTGCAGCATGATGATCAATGACTCCATCAAAATGGTCAGTCAGTTATGTACCATGCATGATACACAGATAAGCAATCATGTATCTTTCAATACATGACTGACATTACTTTCTGCAGTAGACCAGTTGCCATCCAAGGCTAGAGAACCTGGTCTGTCCTGCTATTTATCCACAGCTGGGAGGGAGAATAAGAGGATTCATACCTTTCCTAAGGGTATTAGAATGTAAGTGAAGGTAATGGATTCAAGTGGAATTCAAACTCTGCTCTCTGATTCCTTAATCTGAGCTGTTATCCATTACTCCACCATGCCTTCTCAAATTGATACTATCTCAGTTTCATTGTATGGCCAAGGATGAATGGCACACAATGCTAGAAATGTAAACATTTTTAGGATTCCCTGCTTCCCATAGCATTTGCAAAAGTCATCAGATTTGCCACCAAAATGCTAAGCTGCAGGTTTCTTTGGTGACCAAACAAACTTGCTGCCAAACTTGAACATTTTCAATAATCTGTCATATTGAGTAGAATATTGAACCTTTACATTAACATTCTGCTATTTACAAAAATTCATATTCCCTGGAAGATTGCAAAAGGCACCAAAATCAATCCTTTGCTGAGAGAAAGGAAAAAAGTCTAGGATGATGGAATTATGAAATCACCTAAAATATGGCAGGAAATAGTGGAATGAAGCAAAATGATGTTGAGGAGTAATGTTGAAAATAAAAAAAAAAAAAATTAAAAAATTACTTAAACCAAACATATTTTAACTAACCTCATCTTCAACATTTACACTTTTTTCCAGGGACTCCCAAGGGTGTTATGATAAGCCATGAAAACATTGTAAGTGTGTTTGGAGCTGTGACAGATATGATTGCTGTAAGTATTTTCTAAAATGTTTTCTGTGTGCCATGTCCTTTCAGGATGTGGGTGATCATGACTCTCCACAATTTCCTTTCCTTTGTAGCCCTTAGTAAAGTTTCTCTTTGAAAACAGTCCCCCCCCTTGCCCTTCTCCATGATTAAAGTCAACAGGGAACAAAAAAATTGACTTAAAACAATTATTTTGGGATTGTAAGGAATCCTAAATAAACACAAATTTTATAGTACCAAGATGATTTTTAAATTCTAACAAATGTTGCATATTGAAGAAGGGCTGCTGAATGTTAATCTACAAAAATTAAAAATTATTTCTCCCAAAAAAAGATTTTTTTTTTTTTTTTTTTTTACAAGTGAACCAATCTGCTTAAGTAGTGCTGTTTTTAAATTTTATATTTTTGTTTTAGTACAGATGACAATTTAAGAAAATAAAAAAGCACAAATAAAATTAACCTTTTTAAAATAAAAATTTTAAAAAATACTTTATATTATTCAGTTTACCCCAAACAATAATTTATCAGTATCAGTTGTTGATCAATCTTCTCACAAGTTGGTTGCAAAACAACAGTAACATAGCATTTAATGTTGTATAATTTTGAAAGTCAATATCTGAATGTATAGAGGTTGAGGAGTATCAGCATAAAAGGTTAAGTGTCCAGATAAGACATCTGAATTCCTCCTCCCAGGTTAACAAGGCAAATTGGGCTCTCTAGTCTTGATTGGTAACCAGTCTAGGAGAGCAAGTTTGAATTAAAAACCACTGAGAAGGCAATAGGAAACTACCTTTCCCAAGAATATTTGTGGCAATTCACAATTTAGATATTAAAGAAGAGGAAGTCATGGAGAACGGTGATTGTTATATCCTGAAGTTTCATTGCTTTTGTTTAAAAATAAATATTGGTAGATATATGGCCGAAACATTGTGAATATGATAATAAAGATGAGGACAACAGCCCAAACAATGTAAATAGTGTAAATGGTGCCTACATTTTGTTGCTCTACCTTTTGTACTTTTACTAGCTTTTTTTTCCTTTGTTCAGTCTATTCACAAGTTGTTCACTGTTTCCCCAGCCTTCAATATGCCCTATGAGTGTTAAATTCTCCAAGCATTCTTTCCTTGTTAAATACCCCAGAAATTTCAGCTGTCACTTTTCTGATTGTTAACAGCAATTTGCTTGTAGTTCTTATTTCCCTTAAAACTAATTTCTCACACACACACTCTCCGTGGTATTCTCAGCATGCTTTGCTTTTAACAAAATTTCCCATTTCTTATTACTTTGCTAAGCTTTTGGAAGGTATCTTTCTTTATTTCAATGCACATCCAGATTTTGGTTTCATATTTTCTGTCTTCTATTAAGACACTTCCTAGATTTTTTTTTTTTTTTTTTTTTTAAATTAATTCACCCAAGCAAGGCTATAATTCCACTGAGTTATTGGGGGTGAAAGAGAATGAGAAGATTTTAGAAAGAACCAGGAACCCAATTTTAAACAGGAAACAAGGGATAAACCTCTACTCCTGTTCGAAAGACTGGAGATGAATGTGAATCAGATAAGTGAACCTTATCTTTTTTTAAATTTCCCTTAATTTTCAGAAGGTACTTTTTGGTATCCGAAACCACCTTTGGATTTCAGTGCAGCACTTTCATCCCTCTGTTAAAATACTTCCAAGATATTTAAATTGCTGTACTTGTTTGATATTGGTATCTCCTAGTTTACATGTTGGGCTGTTCCTTTTGCTGACAACCATACACACTATCTTCTTACAGCTGGTGATTAGTCCTTTCTTCTCACTTTCCTTTACCACCTTCTGTAGGAGTTTTGTAGTTTAAGTGTCTGCTATCAACATTGTGTCATCTGCATATTTTATGTTTAGATTGTGGCTGTTAATAATGAACCCTGGTAGGACTTCTAGTTCTCTTAGGATCTACTATGTGCCATGTCTCTTCAGGATATTGATAATCCTGGCGCTCCACAATTTCTTGTCCTTTTTAGCTTTTAATAACTTTCTGTCATTTCACCCAAACGCTGCTCCACCATCTATTCACTCAAGATTTCTAGGTAGGTTGTGTATAGTTTTCCTCCATCTTTCTTGCCTTCAATGTTCTGTGAGTATCCAAATTTTCCAGGTTCTCTTACTGCATTATATGCCCTAGAAATTTCAAGTCTCTTGATGATGTTAAGTAGAAGTATCCTTTTTGTTCCCATTGTTTCTAGAACTGTCGCTGTATGTTCAGTCCATGGTATTCTCAGCATCTTTCTGTAGAACCACATTTCTGTTGCTTTAAGTCTCTCCATCCTCAAGGAGATGGTCCAGCATTCACTGCCATATAGGTGTACTGATATTATATAACAGTTCAGTACTCTTTTCTTTGTTTCTAATATTTTTCTGTTTCTTAATACTTTGCTCAGCTTTTGATTTCAGTGTCGCAACTCCTGTTTTCTGTAAATGTGCTTCCTAAATATTTAAATTGTTACACCAGTTTGATTTGGGTATCTCCAATTTGTAATTTACATGTTGGGCTGTTCCTTTGGCTAACAACTATTCATACAGTCATATTTTCATTTACTTTACCCTCCACCATTTTATATATATATATATATATATATATATATTATATAAAATACTAGCAGTAGAGCCCGGCGTTGCCTGGGGATGTAACAGTAAGAGATAGATCAAGTATCGACCATCATAAAGACTGAAAAATAAAATTGACAAAGATTATTGTTTAAGGTTGACGGACACGCATGTCTTAATTAGTTTTTTTTTTTTGTTGTTTTACAAATTGGTCAAACTCAAACAAAAACATTGTTTTCAATCGTTATGAGTCTACCGATTGAATAGAATTATAAACAATTGCCTTGTAAATGGAATTTTTAAAGGCATTCTGAATGTAAAAATAAAGAAAAAAGTGTGCAAGACAATAAGAAACACTACCTGCCAAAAAAAAAGGTGAAGTTTTGTTGAAATCGGTTGAAAAATGTAGGAAATCCGATCCCATATATAAACGAACACACACACACACAACCTGGGTTTTATAATAAGTAAAACTCGATATGAGTTGTCCCCCTTTCATTCTGGTGACAGCGATACCTCTTAATCGTGTTTTCAAATTGATTTCATGCAAAAACAATTGTTTTTCTAATTTTTGGCTCTGTCAGAACCACCGCAAGGTAATTTTACGTAGTCCTGTGAAGTTGTTAAAATCGGTTGAAAAATGTAGGAAATCCGATCCAATATATAAACGAACAGACACACACACAACCTGGGTTTTATAATAAGTGATGTATGTATCTGTTTTTCTATAACTTTTTTTTAACCACTCTTTCAGGAATATAATCCATACACTACGGAGACCGTCCACATCTCCTACCTTCCATTACCCCATGCCTTTGAGAGGATCAATCTAGTAAGTAGCTGTTTTACATTAACTATGAAATGTACTGGGGTGCAAAGTGAAATTGTGCTCTCATGTGTAACAGACAAAAGTGAAATTGTGCTCTCATGTGTAATAGACAAAAACAAAATGACACTAAATTAAGTCAGCTGTTCACCTATGATTTATTCATATTTTAAATTAGTAAAGTTGTTTTCCAATATAAATAATGGAAAAAATATTTTCAATACATTTTGTTACTGATTTACATAAAAGGATGCATTTAAATTATTTTTTTATGGATAAACATCTATATATATTTTATAACATAAAATCTAAATTTATGTATTTATTGGGTATACAAATTGTTACTAAAGAGATATTCCATTGTTATAGAAACAGGAGTCATTATTTAAAACCAATAAACATACCTGTCCAGCGTCATCATAACACAATATCTCAGGACTAAGAACAGATCAGTCTACTAATACAATGCTTCTTAATTATTTTATTACATATTAACATTCCTTGAATTTTTTTTAGTTTTGAGGATTTAAAAAGCAAAATATTTTCTTACAATGACATTCTATAATATAGAATACAATATGACTTTATATATTTCATCAGTCTGATTTCCTCTTCTTACTAATGAAATATTCTGTTATGGTAGAATAACTTCTTTATCTTCTTTCAGATTGCTGTTTATACTACGGGTGGAAGAATTGGATTTTTCCAACGGGATATCAGAAAATTGTTTGACGACATCAATGTTCTTAAGCCGACCATCTTCCCTACAGTGCCTAGATTACTCAACCGAATCTACGACAAAGTAAATCTCAATATTTATTTGCTAAGCTTGATCTGTCACGTGATAAAATGATAGAAGATGGGAATGGCAGATACTGATCTCTTGAGTAGATCCTGGAAAATCTAGCATGAAAACTAATAATTGGTACAGAGAAAATATGCAAAAAACTAGTAGACAAGAGTAAATAGGTTCACCTTTCATTCAATTCACACCCCTTCCCAGTCTTTTGAACAGGAGTAGAGGTTTATCCCTGATTTCCTGTTTAGGATTGGCTTTCCAGTTCCTTTTCTTAAAGCTTTATCATTTTCTTTTATATCCATTCCCCAATAACACCTTGCGTCTTAGTGGCATCATCGTTTTGTTTTTAGTGAAATAAAAAAAAATTAATAAATAAAAGAAATTCCAAAGTATCTGGAAAACCTTATTTTTAGAAGGGAAAGAATTCATAAAACATTTTAAAGATTGATTAAACTTTTAAAATTAAGGGAGACAACTCATTAAACTTTGAAAGTTATAGTTTGCTTTGACTGTTTTAATGCCTAATACCAACTGATTGAAATCTAAAATAAATACCTTTTTAAATTTCTTTTCCCTACACCCATCATTTACATGTGCAAAATATGTTGCCAATACTTTTAGTTTAAGAAAATGCTACAATACCCTCCCATTTCATTACAAAGACTGTCTTTTATTAGAGTCTTTATTTTTCTATAAAGGTTATTTTATCACTCTTATGAAAGAAATATTGTTCAGTATCTAATTAAGTCAATCTATAAATATCTATTTAATATGTAATTTCCTCAATTAACATTTAGATGTTTAAGTCTAAATATACTACAAATAATTCTAATGGACTTAATGTAAGAATTTTTTTTTTTTTACATAATAATTCTATATTTATTATACACAGATAAATGCTGATGTTTCCAAAAGTATAGTGAAAAGCAAACTATTGGACTGGGCACTGGCCAGTAAAACCAAGGAAATTAAACAGTGAGTTATTTGGTTGTTTTCTATCATATTAAAGGGGTTTAATATTATGAGTATATCAGTTAATGGCATTTAATGATATCACATGTTGGGTAAGTCACTGGATAATGAGTGAGCTATAGGAGAAATTAATATTCTTGTTGGTATCCACCCACCCCATTATAAGTGTGTGTGTATATATATATATATATATATGCCCCCCTCTCATAGGTTGAGCACTTTCAAAGAAAGGGAATTTGTCGGTTGCTGCTGATTAACACTAAAAGCTCTTCACTATAAATTGAGCCTTCTGGTAGCTGGTAATGGTTATATCTTGTATATAATGCATTAAAAAAATTCCCTTTCTTTGTAGCATGTGCTGATGGCACAAGGGTGAGAGTCTCCGACTGATATTAAATCAGTCAGGTTTTGATCCTGGCTTTCAATCCAGCAATCATATGTCTACTTAAACTAGGTACCTCCACGAAATCGCTAAAAAAAGAGCATAGCTTGATGAAAAAGACGCCAAACTTGCCGAAAACTAAATTTTATTGTCTAAATGCTTATGTTATTATTAAGAGGAAAGACCAAAGTTTTTTTTAATTATTTTTTTTAAATTTTCCTTCTTTTTTAGAACATTCTAAATTTTGATTAAAAAAACCTTTTTTCTATTTGTATCAGTGGAACTAGTAAATAACATAGACAATTTTTAGCACGTTTTTTTGGTATGACACACATTAATTTGAAAAATCGTGCAAAAATAGAAATAATTATCAGATGTTAATGAAACTTTCAGAAACTATTCACAGATGATCGAAATTATTATAAATGTTTTTTTTATGAAAGTCATGGTAGAAATATTTTTTTTTAAATATTTATTACCCCCCCATAACTAATTTTATGAAAACGCTTAGAAATTGATCGCATCGGTTTTAGTGATTACAATAATTAAAAGCACAGGGCTTTGAGGAATGCAAATCATGTTTTTTTTTTTGTTTTTAATTGGATACGCAGTACCTGAAAATCAGCTCTGAATTGTAACATACAAAACTCAATAAAACAAATATATTATTTAATTTCAAATGCTTTTATTTGCTTTTAGTTGTTTTTATGAATATGGACAATATTTTCTGAAAGCAAAAAAATTTTTTCGATGGAAAATGAATTTTTAATACAATTATTTATTTCATTAATTATAATAGATTTTACATTTAAGTTGTTAAAATATTATAAAATTAGTTAAAAGCCGCATCAGCTTTCATAAGTGTCCTTATGAGATAGATCTTTTTTTTAGCGCATTGTAAATTGTATCATTTTGACTAATCAGAAGATACCCAGTAATTAAATGTAATTTTGTGCTTATAATCGAGCTGTAATTATAAAATACGGAAGAACAACCAGAATATAATTAAGTTGCGTTATTTGAGTTAAGCATTGTTCTCTGCTGTTAAGGCCTTTACTTTTGCGAAACACGTGTGGAGAAGTTAATTTGATTTTTCAATTTCAACTGAGAAGGGTACCTACAAGTAACAGTATCATCTTATGAAATTTATGATCTTATTTTTATATTAATCTCAGTTACGACATTTTTCCATAAATGAAATATCAAAATTAATAATAAAATGAATGCAAATACAAATAACAGTAGAATGTAATAAATGTACATGAAATTATAGTATTTTATGTACAATTCTGATAAAATTTCATAAGAAAGGTACCTATAAATTAATTAGATACCTTTCTTAAGAAATATTAAATTTAATGTCACTCTTAAGTTTTATTTTAGTTTCTTTACAATATATTTCCCATAAAGCATCATAAACGTAAAGGTGAAAGCTAAGTACAAAAAAAAAAAATTAGACCACTGAAATTTTTCGTTAAAAATAACGGGGTAAATAATTTGTTCACGTAAATGTAAGTTATTTCACTTTTCTCCTTCCGTAGAACAAATTAGCCTCATGGAATTCGTAAATATATCATTCATCACATGTCAAGAGACGCGAAAGTTTATGACCTGCTTTGTTTTATTTTCAAATTACATCTTTTTGGCACAAAAGCTAAGTTAAGTTTGGTTCAAAATATTTTAAATAAACATTATAATTTCTGATTTTCTTAAAATAAGTTTTGAAAAAATGATAATTGATATTTAAAAAAATTTCAAAGTCAGATTTCCATTTTTTTTTTAAAATGGAAAAAAACGGTCAATTTTGCTGACTCAAAAGAAACTAGATTTTTAACGAAAATTTCGGACGTGCTAGGAACGATTAAAATCTCGTGGAGGTACCTAACTTAAACTGATGAGCTGTGATACAGTCTGTTCGTGGATGACTATCTGTGATATAACATCTTATTTCAGGGATGGAACAGAATAGGTGAAAGGAATGATAAATGCTTTGTTCTCAGAGAGTTTTATGCTGTTAAGTCATACACTATATATTTCCAAGAGGATAGAATCCAGGTAGAGCTCAATATCCAAGACAGAGCAAGAATATAATATAAAAGGCTCAAACATTAATATTCCATGGTTATAATTTATTACATTGGAATCATAATCCAGATTCAATTCATCAGACCTACAAATTCAAAAAGAACAGAAAATATGACTCCTTAAAAAAAAAAAAAAAAAAAAAATTTCAGTGAGAGTGTATGGGAGCGAGAAACAAGGGTGAGAGGGAAATGTATGAAAGCTCTAGAGAGAGGGTATAACAGAAGAAAGAAGAACAGGAAAGGTCTTAAAGTGAGGGTGAGGAATAAGAATTAAAAGGGAAGCTAAATAACTGTTTAAATGAGTGAGATACAAATAAATATGAGTTATTATCAGATGCATTGGTCACACAAAATTTGATCTCAAACATTTTTTTTTTTCCTTCTCTATTTCAGGATGATTGTACGTCGAGACAGCATCTGGGATAGATTGATATTCAAAAAAATTCAAGAATTATTTGGAGGAAATGTGAAATTTATGGTTACTGGTTCTGCCCCCCTTTCAGACAAAGTGCTAACCTTCTTTCGGTGTGCTTTGGGATGTTTGGTAAGGCAATATAGGACTTTTTTTCTTTTAAGTTAAAATATGCAATACTTTTCATTTATGGAACTCTTTCAGCTTCTTGCTTTCTTTCCAGTCAAGTTTGATCTTCAAAAATATAAATACAATGGCAATAATTATCTTGTGTCTTATTCACTAATATTTGATAACTCTTGCGTCTTAGTGGCTTTATTGCCTTGCTTGGAATAAAATAATTAAAAAGTATAGAAATAATATAAAATGTATTCTACTTGCAAATATCATTATCTTAAAAAATTTTAAACGAAAAATAATTTTTATTTTAATTTCTGTCATCTTACCAAAACTTGCATTCAAAAAATAGATTTCAATTTTTATTACAGGTTTTATTTTTTTAATGTCTTTTCATGACTCAGCATCCTTTAAGCTTATTTTTCTGTGCCACATCACTTCAGGATATAGGAATTTTGGGAGAGCCATGATCACCTACCCCTTGTAAATCATGGTTGACATTCTGTTAAACAAAATCAAACCAAACCTTGTGGCCCTTGGAAGTTTTTTTCCCTATGCTAAGAGGGAAATGAGTAAGCCACTTATCTATTTCTCTTGTCCTCAATATGCCCTGTGAGGGTTTAGTTTTCCAAGCACTTTCCTCATTATGAGTCTAAGGAGTTGCAGCTATGTTTTCCTAATTCTGAATAGGAGGTTTCTTCCATTGCCATTTTCTTTAAGACCTCCTTGAAGAGGTTAAGGTGTAGTAAATGGGGAAGCATTCTCTTGGGAGTATTAGCTGAGTCAAACTTTTTCCTTACTAATGGAATATGAAGGGAATAAGGATGATTTGAGCCTGTTTATGTGACAGTGGAAGTAAGGAATGTGTCTCTTCTGGACATTTGTCATGAAAATTGTGTAGTGATCATGAGAAATTAAAAAAAAAAAAAAACAATCTAATTCATATGATTGTGTAGAAAAAAGGAAAATTGCCCTACTGATGGAAATTTAGTCTTCCTCTTTTCATCGGCCTCTCACAAAGAGAGAACATGGAAATGAGCAGGAATGAAAACCACTAATAAGTTTTACACAAATATTGCCTTTTAATGATAGGCTTATCACTTGCAAATAATTTATTCATTCAGCAAATACAAAAATCAGAAACATTTACTAACAACACCATTACAGTAACTTTCATATATCTACCAAACTAGTACAACCAAATCCTATGTATGTATCAATATCTCACTTTGTTGTTATGATGTGTGTGTGTGTGTGTATATATATATATATATATATTTATACATGTTTCATTAAATAACATAGACAAGTGTTGTCTATTTTATGTAAATTTTTTCGTAACATCTGATAAGTTTAATAACATTATCGTTAAACGAAGAAAAATTCACAATATTGATCCATATTTTTTTAATATAATCTAAGCTTTCAGCTTACTTAAGCCATTATCAAAGATGTAAATTACAAACATATTAAACAATATACGGACACGACAGTGATGATAGTCTGTCATTGTTTATATAGTTGATCACTAAGCAACGATAAACATGCGCATATAAGACACTAGAAGCGAAAATTGCACCGCATCTCATGACGTCACATATGACCACATGAGAGTGAATTGGAGAATGAAGTATGGTGTTACCAATTATAGACATTTAAGAATATTTGTAGAGATGCCATAATTGATTTTGTTTAGGTTGGGTTTCAACTGTTTGATGTATAATGCTTCAAGTATTTAGTTTTTGTCTATTGTTTTCATGTCGAAGTATAGTTGTGTTTTCGACAAGTATTTTACGGAATTGTGTGTGCAGGCAGGCATGTTGTTTTAAATGCCTAAAAATGTTAGTTTTCATTATATATATTATATTTTACTAACCAAAAACAGGAGTCAAACAAGGCCCATCATAAAAATAGCATTAGAGAGACTAGCACCATTTCATCTGTGGGAAATAATTCATTATACACTATAAATTTTGTGGCACATCTGGTTCCAGAATCATGTTGGATTATCCATTTAGCCAAATCAACAATTCGCTTAATAGCAATTCAATGATACAACTCTGTCCCACTAATTATGCATCTATTTTATCTCTGCAGCATCATCAACCATTAGAAATGTAGGGTTTTAGATGGTTATCTGCTTGCTACACAAGGGTACTAAGGCAAGTTAGTGTCCTTGGCAGTTAGAGAAATAGTTCAGACCCAAGAAAGGGTTGGAACAAAATGTGCCATGATCAACATCCAGACTCAACACCAGTTTGAAACAAAAGATATTCCTAAATAGTAAAACATGAACTCACCCTTAATGTAATTTATGTGATGCTTTATTGTCATTTTCCATTGTTAAAGTTAAAATAATAAACATTTTTTTTCAACCTCTAAGAAAATTAATTATAAAAGGCACAGTGGAGTAATGGATAGCAGCTCAGATTGAGGAATCTGAGAGCAGAGTTTGAATTCCAGTTGGAGCCATTACATTCACTTATGTGCTAATACCCTTGGGAAAGGTATGAATCCTCTTCTCCTCCTCCCAGCTATGGGTAAATAGCAGGACAGACCAGGTTCTATAGCCTTGGGTGGCAACCAGTCTAGGAGAAGAGAAAACTGAATTCAAAACTGGACTGGGGACTGTCAGGTTTTCTTGCCCAAGAAATACCACTTCCACAGCAGTACACATGGTGTCCCTACAGATCATGGGATATAATAATAATAATAAAAAAAAATCATTTTGGCACCCTTCTTTTCATTAGTACCTCATATCTATATGTTTGAGGTTGGTATCTGTTATAAAATAACCCAACAGAAACTTACATTAAACTATTCAACTCACTAAATGGACAAGAGTGACATTGTGTGACTAAGTCTGGCAATTGTATGAAATTCAAATTTTTGTCAAGACCATCAGTTATTTCGGGAAAAGAAAAAAAGTGCTGCACCTTTATTTGAAGTAAAGCAACTCCATTACACAAATACCAGCAAATAATGATAGTCTTTTTATCATGGAACATAAAGTTGGGGTTACATAAAACAACTATAGTGAGCATAAGTAATATATATTTTAGGTAGCATATCTTCATTCAAGCATATTTGGTGAAATAATCTAGACATATTATATCTTTGTTTTTATCAATTTCTTAATGTTGCCATTAAACTCATTGAGGAAGGCATCAGTTTTTTTGTTTTTTTTATTCCTTTTATTTTGAAAAAAAAAAAAAAAAAGTGTACCAAAATGATACTTTTTCTTTTGATACTATTATTAGTGTATACTCACTTTGGCAATTTTTATAGTTTTAAAAAAAGCTTTCTTTAGATTTTTAATAAAACCCTGACATATGAAACGGGATTTATTTTCTTTCCCCCTTTGAGAATTAATAAGAAAAATATTAAATAAATAAAATATTAGATTGCTTATTTACAAGCATAATTTCATATTTACAAGTTTATATGTAAACAAAATACAATGCATGTCTATATTTCTGAGATGAGGTATTGAAATTATTTACATTATTCGGACTGTTGTCCTCATCTTGATTGCCGTATTCGCAATGTTTCAGCCATTGTTAAGGAATCAGCACATATGCTAGGCTACAAAAATCTCCTTAGTTGGCCAAGCATAGAAATGAATACAATATGGAAACCAGTAATATGGAGTGCTAGAGAAAAGCAATAATAACAAAAATTGCAATACAAGCTCTGGTAATAAAAAAAAAAAAAAAAAAAAAAAAAGCAGAGACATTAATTTTATAAATCCCAAAATTTCATACACTGATGTCACCAAGGATCTAGTGGATAAAAATATTGGTTGGATCCAGTGACTTAAACAACTTGGGGAATTTAGTTACAGGGAGATATCCGGAAGAGGCATGGTACATGGATCTAGAACAATCTACCCCAGTGGACGAAATAAAGGGTTTGGTTCAAAATTCCAATTACCTGAAGAAGGCCGGAGTGTACAATGGCTGAAACATTGTCAATATGGCAATAAAGATGAGTACAACAGTCTGAACAATGCAATTAACGTAAATAAACTACAATGCAATATTTATTATTTCCATATTGTAAAGTAATAACTGTTTTTTTGTTGTTTTTTTTTTGTGAATTTATAAAAATGTCTGAACTATAGAAAATTATTTAAATAAAAATAATTGCTCATTTTATAATGAACATGTAATAGCTAGATGAATCTCACCCCCACTTGGAAAATCCAAAATTCAAACAAGGAGTAATCTGAAAATAAAATGTATAATGTCCAGGTAGAAAATGTTTTTCTCAAGTTCTCATTGTGTTTAAATTTTCTTGTTCTAAAGTTCACAAGTGCTATTGTAATTTTATGAATAAAAGAAATTGTTTGCATAGTTATTTATTTATTATGTTGGAGTTGGTCTACATATTTGTATAATCTTATAAATATAAAATTATTCTTGTAAATAAGCAATCTAATAAATACTGTTTAATATTTTTGTTGTTACTTCTCAGGAAAAAAAGAAAAATCCAATTCCATATGCTTGAGTTTTATTAAAATTCTAAAAATGTTTAAAAAAAAAAAAAAATAAAAAAATAAAAAGTTAGCAAGAGAGTAATAGTGGTTTCAAGTGAAAAACCATCCTTTTTAAACAATGTTTATTTGCAGGTAAGTTTGCTAAACTTTACCAAATTCTTTCAATTTCATTTTTTTTTTAAAAAAAAAAAAAAAGCTTGTTGATATTCTGTTCATTGATTTACTTTCTACAGCTTAACTCTTTGCAGGTTATTTAAAGCCAGAAAATATTTTTAGATTGTAAATTTTTTTTTTTTTTTTTTTTTGAGATAACAATTTAGTAATACAGTTCTTATGATAGCTGGAGAAGTGGATTCATACCATTCCAAAGGGAATTTGTACATAAGTGAATATAAACCCAATTGGAACTCTGTGCTATGATTAATAATTCCAAGCTATTATTCATTACACCACCCATACCTCCAAGCATACAGTACCTGGTATTCCCATGATATTCTATTAAGTCTTTTGAAAGAACAGGTAACTGAAGATAAATTTTCTTTTTTGTAGATTTTTGAAGGATATGGTCAGACAGAAGCAACAGCGGTGGTGACAATGACTTTACCCCAGGAATATACATCAGGTAAGTCTTTTTTGCATGTGTGGGTAGCATAATGGTTATCAGCATGGAAAGTAGAATTGATATAACTAGTTTCAGCCACTTCACATTAACACTCTTGGAAAGGCATAAACCTTGCAACTCTGGATTAAATATCAGGGCAGACTGGGCTCTCTTGGGTGGCAGTCAGTCAAAGAAAACTGAATTCAAATCCCCCCTAAATAATAAGGCAGACTGGGCACTTGATAGAGCAACCAAAAGATAACTGAATTTAAAACCAGCTCAGAGATGGGCTTCATCAGACAATCTCTGCCTTTGCTGCTATGATTGCAATACAAATGTTGGATCTACATTTTTGGGGGCCCTGAAGTTTGAACAGATATGGAGGCCCCCTTTGAAACCAGCAACAGAGTATCCAACTACCAAAATACAGAACAGATTCTGGCAAGCTCAACAAGCCCATGCTGAATGATGTTACATTCATTTTCAATATTTGAAAAATGAATGTAGCAACATTTGAAAGTATTCGTGGGAGAAAATACAAAATGAACTTTGGTAAATTTACTGATTATATAAAACAACTACCATATTTAATGGCATATAAAAGGTACACTTTTTTTTTTTATGTAGGTTTAAAATTCATGATAACCGGCCAAAATTAGCTACCTGGCAACTCCTATTAGCTTAGACTTTAGAGTACCTTTCATATACCTATTGTCATTATTTAAAAGGCTATTATACAGATTAAAAATGTTATCATTGATAATATTCATTATATTAATTTCATCATGTTTAATATTAGTACTTTGTTTCACTAAAATTATATGCAATAAATTCAAATTATATCTTTGTAAAATTTATTTGTTTCATTAAAAAAATTTTTTTGCGATAACTTCCCATTGCATTGGTATAAATACAATAAGAATTTTATATCCTAATTATTCCACTCAGACATTTACAAGATGCAGGTTGTACAGATCATATAAAGGATATAAAGTTTTTATAGGCTCATATTCTTTTTTTTTTTTTTTTCTTATTTTTCATTTAAGTATAATCCTGGCTTGTTTAACCAAAATAAGCTTTCATAAATATAGGCTAGGCTGTACCATTTACTAATAATTTTACTAATTACTAATTTTTTTTCTTGATTTGCCCTGTTGAAATTGGGGCGAGTCTTATACGGTTATTTGAAAAAGTTAATAAAAATTGGATAGGCAGAACTTGTCAATTTTATTCAACCAAACACGTTTGATTGTACATTTGGATATATGAGGGAAATCAAAGATTTGGTAAAATTTAACAAACATACCCACCCCCTCCGCAAAAAAACAAATAAAAACAGTGTACCAAAAAGGTTTTTTCTCTTGACACCCCTATTACTGCATACTCTCTTGTATATGAATTGAAGGTTATAGAATGTAAAGGAGTCCATATTAATATATAAACTAGTATCTGTCTATATGGCCCAGTGGATAAAAGCGTTGGTTGAATTAAGCCAGTGACTTGACCCAAAGAGTTGTGAGTTCAATACCTGGCAGGGGTGAACAAAAACTTGGAGAGTTGATTTACTAAAGGTAATTAACTGAAACAGACACATCTAGAAAAGGTGTGGAAGTGAAACAATCTGCTCCAGTTGACTAAATAAAGATTTATAGACAGCTATAATATAAGCAAAATGAGTCAATAATATTAACTTTACTTTGTCAATACTTTTTGTTTCAGGTCATGTCGGAGGTCCATTAAGGTCCAGTCTTTTGAAACTGGTTGATGTTCCCGAATCTGAATATTATGCAAAAGACGGAAAAGGGGAGGTAATTGCTTTCATTTATATTTAACATTTTATATTTATTAAAGACAAAAAAATAAAAATAAAGCGAAATATTTTAAATATAGAAAATAAATTAAATGATTAAGGAAATATATGGAAAAAATATTAATTACTAATATTTAAGAATCAATTTGCTATTTAACAATACAAAGAAACTATTAATGACACTAGAACAACTATGAGGGCTTGAATCTGAACATTTCAAAATATGGATTACCGATACATAAGCTTAAAAATTTATAAATGCATGAAATTAAAATAGATTTAAAGTAAAATACTCTATTTTAAAATAAACCAAACAGTAGTCATTCTAACAAAGGCAATTTATATATATATATAAACATAGTAATTCATCGAGTCTAGAAGAATCCTCAACAGAAAGTATTGTATATATGTACGTGTGTGTGAATGAAATTGCAATTCATCCAATACCATGCATATATAATATATAAAGCGTATATATAAAAAATTGCATTTAAAAATATATATATATATATATATATATATAAACTAATGGTGACTCTAGGTTATTAATGTTTGTCAGGCTCATTACAATCTTTAACAAAATTTACCATTAATAGAACTTAGATGATTTATTTACTCTAACTAAAATATATAAATTTTTTTTTAAAAATCTGTTTTTTTTGCTGTTTCGTTTTCTAAAAATGATGTGTTTGTATATATGTCTATGCGTTTATGTATCTATCTGAATTTTTAGTTTAATTTATTGTACATTTATGCTTTATCAGTACTGCTAACTGATATGTTTCCTCAACACTACCCCAGTCATACTCTTCACCCCCAACCATCCAGTTAAGGCTGCCACTTTCTTTGATCTTCACCAACTGAAGCCAGGCTAAATTTAATTTGTTTTTTTTCAATTGATACATTGTGTTACAAAACCCTTATACTGCATGAAATAAATTATTTAAAATGGACATTTAAAAAAAAAAAACAGCTGAAATAAAAATGTAGTCTTTGAAAAATTGGGCATACAAGTCATTAGTATTTTAAAAGATTTATAAAATTAAAGCAAGAAATACATTGCCTATTAAGTATATCTCCAGCTCAGATCTATGTAGCCCAACCAACCACATTATATTTTTTTTAACTCTTCTTTTTCTTTATTATGAACAATATCAATGAAATGTATTTCAGTCAATATTTTGAGGCACTGAGTTTAAACAATTAATCTTGGATCCAGCTGAAGTCAAAAATGAAAACAACACACTGCAAAAGATTTTTCTTGCTTTGAAATGTTGACTAACTCGGGCTAAACCCAACAAGCCAGACCCCCACCCACTGTAGTTGCCACAGATATATATATATATATATATATATATACACACAACTAAAGAAGAACCAGTCATGGTGGGGTGATTGACAATTTGCCAGAAGACCTAACACAAAAAAACCCTCCCAAACAAGGAAAGAAAAAAAAAGTAAGACAATCTAGACAGCAAAAATAATTCTTCACAATGTCAATGCTTAAAGAACAGCCCAAGTTGTTACTGAAGTTTCATGCTCTTCTGATGTTCAGACAACTAGAAAAAACACATTCACACATTTTATATATAAAAATATAAAGACAGAGATGTATGTATACATGTAGATCACAATCTGTACTGAGAAGATTCATGGTGGGACACTGGAGAATTGTAGGGCATGTGGATTCCATCAACCCAATGAGGAATACAGAGTTTCTGTCATATATGCCTGATACCAAGGAAATCAAATGCTGGCTTCAAAAATCATCTTCATAGCCATCATAAATGACATGAGGGGGATGACTCATCTCATTGAGATGTCACAATCACCATATATAAATGTTATTTTCCAAGTCAAAATTGTGATCACACAAGTGTTGGTGGTATACAACTGCATTGAGTAGGGCACCTCGAGGCGGTGTAATGGTTAGCAAGCTTGTCTCACTAGAACAATTACAACTGAGTAGTGAATTCGATCCTCACTAGGTGCCCCATACTTTCGGCCTTGTGCCACATCTAAGCTACGCTTGGAAAATCACTACAACTGCATTGATTATATTGTTTAAGTACTTTTTACTGTTGCGATATTCTTTAAGTCAAATTGTTTCACTGATGTAATTTTGAGGGTATTTTTTATGTTCTATTTGGTCAACTCTTGCTGATGTAAAGCTTACTTTGTTTCACATTGAATGAATTTTTAGCTATTTATTATATATCAGTAATGATGATTATGATTGTAAACACTTCCGGTCCTACTATGAAATGATGGGCTCAAGAAGGATCCAGCAGGCAGTTTAAATAAATACATTTAGTTTACCTTGTCTCATGTCGTCTTTGTGTTGCTTTAACTATTCAGTGTCCAGTCTCATAATTTTCCACCCTAATTTCAGTGGAACATGTCAGTCCTACAGAATTAATTATAAGAAGGAAAATAAGAATCACATTACTATTACATCAAAAAAAAAAAGAAAAAAGTTATTACAAAAATGGCCTGATTTCATATGAATCAGGAAGAGAGACAAACTGGCAAAAATCAGAAGGGAAAAGAATTTTAAGTTTCCATGGTACCAGAAATTTACCAACTCTAAAAAGAGGATAGAGTAAAATTGGATAAAGTGAATTATTTGTAATGCCAAAGAAACAATCAAGTCAGCAGACAGTGACAAGTAACCAAGGAGATTTCCAAAGAAATAGGAAATATTTCATTTTCAGGTTTTAAAAATAGACTTAAAGAAACCAATTAATGATCATTAATCTTCAAAACTAAAAATAATATAAGAGAAAGTACTGGAAAAACAAGGTGAGGTCGAAAAATACAATCTGTTTGGTTTCAAAAAGTGAGTGAGTTATCGCCCTTGGACTGTAATTTTGTAATCTAGGAAATTTAGAAATAAATTAATAAAGAAAATAAATTACGTGGGGAAGAGGATGTTATAAACAACATCAGTTATATTGATTATGGTTATGATGATGATTGTAAGCACTTCCAGTCTCACTAAAGAATACCGAGATCCAGCAGATTGTTTAAATAAATATGTTGTTGAGTTTACTATGTCTCGTGTCATCTTTGTGCTTCTTCAACTTTTCAGCAGTCAGTCTCCTATATCTTTCCACCCTAAGCAGAGTGGAACAATAGACACTTCGAAAACTGAGTAAATTTTTACATCAGAATTAGTAATCAAAAAGCGTTCCCCAAAATTCATTGGCAAAATATCCTGTGTTTTAAAATAAAGAATATATGAAAATAAATGGAACTTAAAATAAATTAAAGCACTCAGTGAACTTATGTGCTACCCAAACCATCATGATCTCACACAATATATATATAATTATTTAAAAATATGATTCCAACATGCTACATAAGAGTTCACATGTTTCAAAACAAGAGCCAAAAACTTCAATATAATTATTTGAATTAAATTGAATTAAAGTAAGCTGTTCCATCTTCAAGCGAAATTCAAAAAAAAAAAATTCGCTTGAAGATGAAACAGACCTTACTTTAATTCAAATAATTATATTGAAGTTTTCAGCTCTTGTTTTGAAGCATGAGAACTTATGTAGCGTGTTGGAATCATTTTTAAATAAATAATTATATTTATGCTCTACTTTTGTATCGGGCACTATTTTTTTTAAAAATAATAACAAAAATACTAAAGAACTTTGGATTATTTACCTAACGAGTTCTTTCCTATTTTCTATATATTTTTCACACACACATATATATATCTATATCTATATATATATATATATATATATATATATATATATATATATATATATATCTATATATATATATATGCAAAATGTGATTTTCTAAGTGTAGCTTAGATGTGGCACAAGGCCGAAAGTATCGGGCACCCAGTGAAAATCAAACTCACTACTCAGCAAGCTTGATTCGCTAGAACAATTACGACTAACGCCTGAAGGTGTGTGTCTGATGATGAACTCTCCCATCAATTTAGACATATGAGGATCCGATGACCTCATTCAGTTTTTTTTTTTTGTTTGTCATTTTCATTTATGACCTACATAAAAGTCCACATATATACAACAGCAAGAATCTTGGGATGTAGCAACAGGAACGTTTGCTGACATTTTTTTGCTGTTGTCTTTCATATCTTAGCCAGTCAATATGACCGATTTTGAAATTTCTGATACCACTCTGGCACATATTTCTATCCAGGGCAAGTCACTCAAAGTTAGTATGAGGCACATTGACAGTCAAGAGGTTACTCTTTAGTTTGTCTTTATATCTGAGCCACAGCTGTCCAACAATCCTTTGTCGATTGTCAAGCAGAGGACCTTAGGTATTTTATCATCATTAATCCTTGCAACATGACCAGCCCAGCAAAGTCATGACTGCATCAGGAAAGTGTCAATAACACCAATGTCATATTTGGTGAGAAGATCAGCATTCGACCCCCTAATAAAACCTGAGGTCTGTTTTTTGTAATCATATTGGGGGGGGGGTGAATGCAGAAACCACACTGAATCTCCTCCACAATGGTTTATCAATAGCATCCATCAGCAATTCATGTGTGTGTGTATAATATATATATATATAATAATGTATATAAAAAATGTGGTTGATTCTCATCATAGATAACAAATGAGGTCTCAGTAAAATAAAGAGGTGCTTGACTTTTATGGATATGCATGCATTTCCCAAGGTTTGCAGGTGTTTTGGAAACATGTGGCTGAACCATTTTTCTCAATTGGCTGAGGACTAATTGGCACATGTTTCCATGAGTGGAGAACAAGGCCTGCTTTTCTGCATCCAACAAAGCCATAGTGGCAGGTAAGGTGAATAAAAAGTGTGTTTCCAGGATAAAGGGAATGCAGGTTCAAGCCTTGCTGAAAGAGGTATTTTCTTAAATAAAACTATTTCTAAACCAATGGACATATATTTGTTTTTGTTTTTTTTTTTAACACAGTGTAGATATGTATATACATTATTACTGAAAGTGTCCTTTCCAGATATAAATGAATAAAAACAGTCAAAAACCAGCTACAGACGCGTTTACACATTTATGCCCTTCTGAGCTTGAAACATGTCCAAGTGTCAGCTCATATGACTGGTACAAGTGCTAGCCACCACTCAGGTATTTCAAGGTGCCTCAGTTTGTTAATTACTATATTAAAAAAAAATTTGTCTGAAAATGAAACTTTTCTAAAATAATTGACAGTGGAAGGAGTTAAGAGAGAAAAAAAATGAAAAGGTATCCACACTTACATGTATCCACTAAAAGAATGTTTTATAGTAATGAAAAATAATTAATGCCAGATTAAAATTATATAAATAGACATTGAAGTCAACACCCATAGGCAACAGTGTTTCTTGTTAAATGCAATCTTCAGGCCATGACAATTACATTTAGCATTAAACAAACTGTCACCCATGTTTAATTTTGCACTAATGCCTTCAGGATAATTATAAATCCATCTATTCCCTCTAGCTAGGAGTTAAATAACAGGATAGACTGGGATTTCTGGCTCTTTTCAATAATGGTATCTCAAATTTCCAGGAATTGGTTCTATACAGGCAGATAATCTTTAAGAAGCTATTCTGCTTATTTTCTTTTCAATCTGGGAATGGAAACAAATCATTTTATAGTATATAGCTGGTCACTCGTATTTAAGGATACTCATCTACTAGGGCGGCTAGCCAATCCCTATTGCAGATGCTTGCTCAGACGCATTTGTGTTTATTCAACACCCATAGAGCCCATCTGTGGCTTATACTGGCACTATGATGAGCAGACCTTAGTTACAGTTTTTGGGAAAGAGCCTGTTATCTAGCATGATCAACAATCTGAACAAGGCCAGCATGATCAAGCCCTCGGCCACAGCTATCGACAACCTCCCCAAGAGTTCCATCTACCCAATTTCACTCACAAGGATTGGGTCAACCAGTGGTATGGTTTTCAGACACTTTCCAAAGGTTCCACACACTAGGATTGACCCCTCCAGTCCGATAACATCAGGAAGTTTCCTTCTTGACAAATTGACCATGGTGAGATTCGAACCTGGGTCTCATGGTTAGAACGAACATTCTAACCACTTGGCCACTTTATAGTATCAAAATATTTGATAATTTAATAGAAAACATTTAAGATATTTCCAGATTTAAATTCTGTTTTCATCATATTTCTGTTCAGAAGTCTGATGCTTTTTGACTCTAGTGTCATCCACTCTGTTATAATTTCTTAACCATATTTGAACTGAATCACTGCTGCCCCAAAGATCAAATGGAAGATTTATCAAATTTATGACTAGGAGATTTGCCACATTTTTAACATAATTTATTCTAACAAGAGAAATCTTTATGTTCATCACAGAAAACCTTTCAGCCACCACAGAACTTAGAACAATAGCATTACTTATATTTTTAGTTCTGTGGATAGTCTTGGGTACATGTTTATGGTAATGCCTCATTATGATTCCAACATAATCACAGAAATTATTATTGTGTTAGGGATCATGTGTCACTAGGCATGAGTGTAGCATAACTAACATTTTATCTAGACCATCAGCTATTAATAAAGGGTGTTCCAATAACTTGGACCAATTTTAAATGTGAATTAAGTTTAAAATCAGTCCAAGTTATTGGAACACCCTTTACATAAGATTATTTTTGGATTATCCAACAATCAGTTCACTAAGCATTTATAATTTTAAGAATCTGTGAAAACTGCTAGGATGCCACCACTGATCAGAGGGTCACTGCACAGGTTAGCACCTGACCAGTTCCCTCTATATATCTGGGTTGAATTATTCATGTGTAGTGTATCTTTGGACAATTTAACCTGTCAGAACTCATTCCACCCCAGGTCAAACCACAGCCAATGTCTTCTCTCTTTAAGGCTCACCTTGGTCACAAACACATGGCTGTAGATTCCATCAGGGTAACTCCCACCCAACCAAGTGACTTGACTTTAGTCTAGGAAGCATCCTGCCTATCAATGCCATGTCATCACTGCACTAGTTATATACTTAAGTATGGAGCCTAGTCTATCCTATTGAGCTAGATGGCCAATAAGGCTCATCCACCCTTTGACAGCTCTTATTTTTTTTTTAATCCTGTTGGGTGTTATAATTTGCTGCAATTAGATCTTTGATTCACTCTACATGTTGGCTGAATGGGAACACTGAGAAAGCAAAACACAAAATTTAAAAAAAGTTATCTTGTCCACAAAATAAATCCCTGCAAAAATCTAAAATACAGTAGCCAAGTACAAGTGCTGCTGACATCTGCGCCCCCCCCCCACAAAAAAATCCTGGGAGCCACTAGATTTGCTTAAAAGAAAGCCCCTCATAAATGACTGGCACAATAGCAGGCCAGCTGTTGACAATGGCTTACTGTCATCATCACCACCATGAACTCCAGGCTTCTTTCATCATCACTATCATGATCCTGTTTAACCCCTCTCCATTCAACATTTTGCTCAATCAAGCTTCACTTTTCCACTCCAGGCCTCTTTCATCCTCACCACCATAGTTTCAGCCACCCACACCTAATCACTTTCTTTACTGATGACAACTAAAGAACTACATAACAACAATCCACGTTGTCGAAAATTAATCTGTTTGTTCTTTCCTTTGCAACCATATGCTCATAATAACATGGTGTCTAGCCACCTTCCTCACCAGGAAAGTCTGGTGGAGGGACCAGTTTAGTCTCCATTGACCTGACTAAGTGATAGATAGTACTAAATTACAGGTTACCAGTACAATCTGGCATAGATGTGAGTTACATTTTAAGAAACATTTACCCCAGAAATAATGTTGTCATACATTTAATTAATCACATTTATAAAAAATAAAAACATTGCAACTGTAACACTAGAGAAAATGGCTTACCTCTTGGATAAAAATGGATCTATGCATGTCTCACATGTAAAATATTCCAAAAAAGAAAATGGCAGTTTTACAAGTCATATATTTAAAAAAGGTTTGATCTCAGTCGGATACTTTCATGAGAATCTTTCTACCTATGCAGTTTTGACCTGTTTTTCAATCCATAAAAAGTGCTTAAAGAGGTGACACGTGTTGTTGAATTGTTTGACTTTTTGGTTGAAGGAAATGAATTAGGGAATTTTATTACAAGCGAGAAGAAACTGACTACAGCAACTTATATAAGAACAAACAATTGTTTAAATATCTAATTTCATGACTGCATTCTCTTGTAAGCAAAGATTGGATTAGATAATAAAGAGAATATGTAGAGAATAAAAGTGATGTCACACAGAGATAATTGAGTTTAACCATTGGTACAACATCCGACTCAATGCAAATTTGAAACATTGATATTTTTGTATGTATTACTGCATGTAAAATATGTAAACAAATCACACAGGAATTACTCACATCTTACAGCAAAGTTTTCAATGCATATTGCCAAAAGCAGAAATTAATTCCATTTAAATGCAACTGTTTACATTTTCAGATATGTGTAAAAGGTCCAAGTGTAACAAGTGGCTATTATAAGCTTCCAGAAAAAACAGCAGAGATCTTAGACAAAGATGGCTGGCTTCACACACAAGATATTGGCATGTGGTTACCGGTAAGAAAATTATGCAATTTATATTTTTTTTTCTTTTATATATCTAATACAGTGATTCCCAGTTGGTGCGGCATGCCTCATAGGTGTGGTGAAAGAGGATAACAGGTAAGGTGGAATGATTGGAAGACAATCAAAGATTTAGAAAGTTTCCAAAAAATTCATATGACAAAAATAAATGATTTTAAAATCTTATGGATTACTTGTAATTGCATGTATGAATCCCAGTAAACTTATAATTATTGACCAATTTTATCAGTGTGATATTTTTGCATTATATCAAGTATTAATATCGTAACTAGGATCCGCAAATTGGTGGAGAGAGTTATCAATGATAATGTTCTGGCTTCGAATCCGGTTATCTCCCTTTAATCCTTTTGTTTTTTTTTATTTTAAATGTATTTATCGCATAAAATTTGGTGAGGTACAAACAAATTTTAATTCCAAAAATGTGGTCCACAGAAAAAAATCTTTTGGAAAAAAACGGATCTAATGTATGTTAACACCATGTAAGGATACAGTAGACAGTTACCTCCCTTAGACCGGAGGGATTTATTTATGTTTAAAGAGTCCCTTAAGTATCTTTGATAACAGTGGTCAGTTATTGTTTAGTTTCTCAATTGTGAGGACATATACAAGGAGTTCTATAAAAGATATTACAAGGCTTTTTCATGTCCATCTTGGAGACATTACAAGCAAGATCTTTTTTGTCATCTTTCACTTACAGCTTTGCCAGGTGTCTATCTTTTAGTGTGGAACAGTTTGTTACTATTTCTCAACCTTAATTTATACTTTGTTAATTTCATTTTTGGTACTCATGTCCATTGTTCTTGTCTTTCTTTTCATCTTGTTAAGCTGTTAGTTTATCACAGGTATACTTATGCCTTGTTGGGTCTTGGAGATTAGAGAAGATTAACTTGGAAATTTTAACCTTTGGGGTGTAAGACAAGGATGTGCCTTCTCATCAGATTTATTCAACCTATACAGCAAGGCAATTCTGAGAAAATTAGAAGTCCTACAAGGATTCATTATTGGCAGGAAAACTAGGCATTATGTTTTCTCCATTATCTACTGCACACATTAGATAGTAGTATGTTTTCTCCACTTTATCAATCTGTATGTGACTGATTGCTGAAGAGACAGAAAAATTTTGTTAGAAACAAAGAAAAGAGCATTGAACTGTTACATTAGTCCTCCTGTATGGCAGCAAATACTGGACAATCTCCTCAAAGATGAAGAACAGACTTGAAGCAACAGAAAACTGATTCTACAGAAAAGTGCTGAGGATACCATGAACCAAACACATGAGCAATGTTGAGGTTTTGGACAAAATGAAAATTTATACTTAACATCAGGCAGAGGCAATTGAAATTCCTGGGGCATGAAATGAGGAAGGAAAGCTTGGCAAATCTGATACTCATGGAACAGATTGAGGGAAAGCAAAATGTAGCATATAACATACTTGATGAGCTTAAGTAAATGGATGGCAGAACAGGGTTTGGAAGAAATAACAAAATGATAAATCTTATTAAGAGCTACAAGGGACAGGAAGATGTGGAGAGCCATGATTGCCTACGTCCTGAAAGGACAAGGCACATATAAGACAACAACATTGCCTAGCTGCACATTTCAATAATCAACTGTGTGGATCTGGATGCATAGTTGAAATAAACAAATCCTTGCATAGAGAATATATATATATATATATATATATATATATATATATATATATATATATATATATATAAAATGATGAATGATCACTTTGCAGAGTTTAAAGAGTTAAAAACTCAATTTTTATTTTTGGCATCATATCCTCACACATTTTTATCCAGTTTAGCCTTTATCATTCTGTATATGACTGGTTGCTAACAATAGTGTGTTTGAATTTTATAGTTGTGTTGTCATATCCTGCTATGGAAACAGAAAATAACTGCATGAAATTAACAATAAGGATACCGCAATTGAGAGGCTGTGAAAGGGAATTCACTGAAAAGGGAAGTAATATTAATAATGCAGAGTGCTAAAGGTTAATATTATGGTTCTTAAATATTTATATTAAATTGAAAATACAAGTTTATTGGTGTTGATTTTCTTGATTGAAAACAGTTTCCAGACGTTTAATTTAAATATTAATGCACACTTTAATGCACAGGAAGTAGATAGATGTTTTCAGTGGAGGAGGTTGCAGAACTATAATAGTAGAGATTAAATTATTTTCTCCATAATTTTTAATAAAAAAATGGAAATGTTCAAATTTCCTGACTTAAGAAAAAACTGGAAAGGAAATAAATTTTATTAATTTAAAAAATTTTATCAAATTATAAACTTGCATATCCAACAAACTGCTCATAAAAATAGTCAAATAATGTTCTTGTATTGCTTTAAAAGAAAGAAATATGTTTGTTTTCTCCACTATCTAAGGCCCACATTAAGTATTAGTATAATATGGATAAATAGCAGGACAGACCAGGATGGCAACCTACTGCAGGAAAAAAAAAAATCTGCCTCGTCAGTCATGTATCAAAAGATACATGATCACCTAAGCATGTATCACACATGGCACATTTCCATTCAATGTATCTAATACAAAAAACATCAACTTTATTTGGATTTATTCGTGAAATAGTAAAATTTTGAAGTCAGTTTGTAAGCAAAAACCTGTAGAAATTAGGTATTTCTGTAAATTTTTCCAGACACTCTTTAAAACTGAATGCTCAAAAACTAGTAAAATCTATTAATCTAATTTTTAGTACCAGTACTTATCACATCAAAACCCAGATCTGGAAAAGCATATATTTATTTCTACCTACATCTGTTCCATCACAAGATATCTGAACTGGCATGTAGCATTGCTGGATACAGAAAAGAGTAAATTGATAAATAATAATAAAAAAAAAAAAAAAAAAAAAAAAAAAAAGTGAAGAATTAATCTGCCCTACTCTGGGAGTAATTAATGCTTGTTGCTGACCAACTAACCAGCCCAAAAGATAACAGAGGCTTCAGATCCAAGGTTACCTCTTTTTATAGTAGATATTTTCAGTTAGTAATGGCTTATGCTGTCTCTTGATTGGTTGATTTTGTCATCATCCACTTTCAAGTCCATTTCTTTTCTAAGGAAATAAAGTTCAAATTAAGGGAGTATTGCTTGATAGTTTTTGTTCGGCTAATTTTTTCACGTCATGACAGTTATTAACAGGTTGTGAGTTGGAGAAAGAAGAAGTGGGATAAAAAGCATTTTATGCATATCCATTTTTGAATCTATGGTTTTTGTAATTTGTTTTTTGTATATAAATTTGGTTCTGCATTCACCACAGTTATGTTTTTGTTTTGACTTTTTAGAATGGTGCCCTCAAAATTATTGACCGAAAGAAAAATATTTTCAAATTGGCCCAGGTAAGTAATTATTTTCTATTTTGGGATTTACAAAATAAAAAAAAAAAAAAAAGGCACTTTTATCTTTTAATGAAAGCATAAGAAATAGCTAACACTCATGTATGTCTAAAAATAGCCAATCCTTTACATTCAATGCATAAGTTTTTATGCACGCAAGTTCAAATATGCCATACAAGTCTTGTGCTGTCATTAATTTTTAGGTTTATACCACATTTAAACACCAATACCTGTACAATAAACTGGTTAAGTAACAGAGCCTGATCACTACCTAAATGGTTGAATGGTTGGGAATATCAGCTGCTGTAAGCTTGGATGTGTGGGTGGTGTCATGGATAATAGCTTGGAATTGTTAATCAAAGATCAGAGTTTCAATTCCAGTTGTGTTCGTTATATTCACTTATGCCCAAATAGTCTTGGGAAAGGTATGAATAAACCTCTCCCCCTCTTCTATGGGTTAATTAGTAAAACCTATCAATAAATCATTACCATCTCAAATAAATAAAATAAATAAATAATATGCAAAGGGGTTGATAAGACATAGGAAATGATTCAATCAAAACAATTTTTGAAAAATATTTGTGTAAATATATTTAACATTTTTTTTTTAATAATTTATTCATTTTTTGGCAATGTTTAACCTTTGTACCTGCACAAAAATAGTGTGCCAAAAAAAACAGTTATTAAGTTATCTCCCTATTCATTGGGTGGACAAAGTTTTCCTCGTGTATAATTATAGAATGTTGGTAATTTTTACCACAAATAATGCATTGTATTGGATTATATTTGAATATTCTGCAATTATAAAATTTATGAATAAAAAGATTTTTCAAATATATTTCTTTATAAAAGTTAATAAATACGGAATTATACTTGGTTTACATATATTTATAATATTGTAAATAAACATTGCTGAGTGAGTCAAAAGTGTATTTAGTAACAGCAGTGTCAAGGGAATAATCGTCCTTTTGACAAACTATTCTTTTGTGGCACAAAAAGTTGGAGACTGCTTCCTTTAATGAGACTTCTGAGCTTGATTTGATGCCACCAAAAATTTAATGTTTAGTGTTAAATTAGTTACTGACAGCAGAAGAAAATTCTTTAAATTTTGATTGATCAATCACTATTTCATTTTGTTTATAATCAATTCCATAACTTCAGATTCATGATTTTCCCATTCTGAAGCTGTAGATATAATTCTGAGCAAATTTTCTGGAAAATGTTCTGAATAATAATTGCTAGATATGAATAATATCCAAAGAAACAATTGGGACTGAAGAAAGCTTATTGCCATTTTCAATAATGAATTTGTTTTCAAATCAATGATTTTTATCCAAATATTGCTAGGCTTCTTCATGACTTGTTCACTCAGTGAAAACAGGTTTATAAATGCAAGTTTTCAGGCCTTTTCATATTTTCTCCTTTGTTTATTAAAATTCATATTTTCTATCATTTTGAGTTGAGATGGGTAGCACAATTTTTTTTGTTTTTTTAAGAATACCTTTTCAAAAAAAATTCCAAAACTATAAATGTTCACAAAAAATGTATAAAATATCTTCATAGTGTACGTCTCAACTATAAACTGATTGGCAAAAATTACTGGTATCTAATGTGCTATGCATCTAATCATGCAATGCACCATTTTTGGTATATGCATCTTGGGTTCATCATCCCTGGTCTGAATAATTATATAATAGGATTGTCAAGGTTAACAATGGGAGTTAATAATTCTTGTGCTGCTCAGGAGGATGGTTTACCCATTCACCTACTCTTTTTGGTATCCAGCAATGCTATCTACTAGTTCAGATATCTAATGTTGGGACAGATGCAGGGAGAAGTAGATTTATGCCTTTCTAAAGTGCAGTGCTTTGCTTCCAAAGGCTCTTTCAGATTAATGATTTTGCAAGACTAGTAAATCTGAAATCTCCAAAGAATTTTGCTCAAGGCATGAATGAACTTTTCCTTTTTAATGTAAATCAACAATACAAAAAAAAAAAAAAAAACTTATTGTTTATACAGAATTTAATTATATTATCACATTGCTTTTGCAACTTTGACACATGGTTCTATTTACAATGACTATGCTCACTCTCAGTGGTTCATGAGTGACACATTACAAAATGTGTCGTAGTAGGCAAAGTTTAATAAAAAAAATATTTCATAAGTTCTGGAATGTATCACCTACTTATCTCCTTAACACCTTATTAACATTAACACTGGCATTCTTAAGGATGGATCAATTAGCTAACTTTGTTTCTGAAACCAGATACTTAGATGAGCAAAACAGATTAATAATGGTAAAATAATATTGACCTCTTAAAAAACTTGTGGTTAATATTATAAATTTTAAAACTTGTTTTTCTGATTGTTTCTACTTTATAGGGTGAATATATTGCTCCAGAAAAGAACGAAAATATTTACAGTCAGTGTCCACTGGTGGCTCAAATATTTGTTGATGGTCACAGTTTACAAGTAAGTGCATCACCCAAGTTATGTGATCTACACACAAGAGTTGACAAATATATGAAAGTTTTTTTTTTTCTCCCTTTATCCACATTGTCAAGATTCTGAAAGTCAAGAGTTGGTTAAACTAAAAATGTGTAATTTTTTTTTTTAGTAGAATATATTTTTCTTATGTTTTATGTACTTTGAATATGACATTCATCTCTTTGGAAAATGAGTCTAGTTTAATTTGATTTTAATGTGTTTTTATTGCAATTACATGTTTTGAAATATTGTAAAATGTATAAAAAGATCATGCAAAACATATATATATATATAACTCCAGTTCTACAAAATAATAAAATAATGTATTTGCTTAATACTAAGCAATCTCTTTATTTAACTTTCAGGAGAAAATATATTTTCAATAAACACTGTTTTTTTTAATTTTCTAAAAAATAATTCATGATTGAAGTGCTTACTTATGTCAGAGTTCAAACCTGTTATATAGGAATAAAGTGTCGCTTCTAACACTTGAGTTTGAATACAGATGACCAGAGAGCAAACACAGACAATCCCAATATTGAAATAAGTAGATTATGTGATGGCAGAGGAAATGTATATATGGGAATTAGCATGACATCTAACTGATCACTATTTCTACTCTATCCTCTATTACTATACGGACCACTAATCTCTATACTATTCTCTGTATTGATCACTATTCAGTGGTTACATTTCGAGAAAAGTATTATCAAGCAAGTACTATTAGTGCGAGTGTTATTTGAAGGCATATGACACCTGTATTGTTCAATAGTGTTACTATAGTTGTATCTGTGATTACAAAGTCACTACTACAACAAGCATTATGAAAGTGACAAGTATTCATTGACATTACAAAAGTGGCAACGGGTGTTTGCTGACAACACAAAAGACCCATTTAGAAATATGTTCTAGTGTTTATCAAACATAGAAGCTGTTCATCAAATCCTAACAATAAGAAGGATCCTCTGAATGTTTTGCAAACAATGATAAAGATATTGTTCGATTTTTAAGAATTTATAATAAATTGATAATCTTGGGATGTAAAAAGGTGATTATTTCCTTTTGGTTTAGATGAAGTCATGTGGGTTATGTGATGGCTGCTTTGTGATATCAGTCTCATAGTGACGAAAGTGGTCAGTTAGCTTCCAGGAGTCAAACCAAGCATTTTCTTTTATAGTATGGGCAAAGGTTAAATTTGCCCACGCAGGTGTGTTTTCAAAAAGGCAGCTCACAAGCACTAAATGCCTTCAACAAAGTACACCTCAAGGATCTGTTGGAACTGCTCAGCAACTTTGATATAATTGAGAAAGATATTAGAATCAAGAACCTATACTGGTAGCAAACGGCATGCATGCGTATTGAGGTGTTCAGCAAATATACAAAAATAGAAAGGAGCGTAAGGCAAGGATGTGTCTTCTCACCAGACCTATTCAACCTATACAGCGAGGCAATTGAGAGAATTTGAAATCCTACCGGGATTCAGCATTGGCGGCCACAGTCTTAACATAAGATATGCAGATGACTCAGTATTGATAGTAGACATGGAAAAGAAATTACAAAACCTCCTACAGAAGGTAGCGATGGAGAGTGAGGAAAAGAGACTAAGCATAAACTACAAGACAACGGAATGCATATTCATCAGTAAAAGGATGAGTCCAAAATGCAATTTGCAGGTCGGGAACACTAAAATCAAGCAAGTGCAGAAGTTTAAATATCTGGGAAGTGTTTTCACAGAGTACAGTAAGTGCAACACAGATCCGTAGACATATTGGGATAGCCAAGGACGCATTCCAAAAGCTAGGCAGAGTATTGTGAGACAGGAGGATTTCTTTGGTAACAAAGAAAAACATACTGAGCTGTTATGTGACATCTGCCCTCCTTTACAGCAGCAAATGTTGGATGGTCTCCTCAAAGATGAAGACTCAAGAGTTGTGCTTTTACAGAAGGATGCTAAGGAGATCATGGACCAAGCATGTGTGCAACAATGAGGTCTTTGAGAGGATGCAAACAAGTAGGAGGCTTATACTTAACATCAGGAAGAGGCAGCTGAAGTTTCTGGGACACAATGAAAAAGGAGAGCCTGGAAAATGTGATACTCACAGGTCGAATAGAGGGAAAGAGAGACAAAGGAAATCAATGCATGACATACCTGACAGGCTTAAGCAAGTGGATGACAGAGTGTGATCTGGGGGAAGTGGCAGAGGGATGAAACTTACTGAAAGCCACAAGTGACAGGGGGAAGTGGAGAGCCATGATCACCTACATCCTGAAAGGACAGCACATGAAAAGAAATAATGAACACCAAATATACAAATGATCTGTTGGGAAATATCCATGGCTCACACTTTTCCGTTTGAGAAATATGTCCTTGTGAGTAACATATAGGATAGGATAAATCCAGCCCACTTGAATCCCTGTTAGGAAGCCTAAATATGGCTTCTCCAAAAACACAGGCAAATCTCCTGGCAGCTTGAATTCACACTGAAAATTATTACAGTAAGGTCCTATGTCTCTTTCTTATTGCTTGTTGTTGTATACATGTGTTATACTGGGATAAGTGTAAATGTTTGTATATAATTTTGTGTATGACTTAGCAGTATAAAAATCTGAGAACAAAGCATGTGTCATTCCTTTTCTTTGTGCTGTACTGTTTTGTCTATGTATTAAGGGGTTATATCATGGGTATAGTAATGCTCATAATAGGGGAAATGCAACGAAGAATTATACCTTTCTTTCATAGTACTCCCATTATTAGATTATAGTAAGGTATTTTAATGCTAGTAATATGTTTACTTCTTTTTTTTTTTATCAGGCATATACAGTGGCTATTGTGGTTCCAGATGAAGAAGTTCTTCTCAGCTGGGCCAACAGTGAAGGAATTAAAGGAAATTTTGCTGAACTTTGTGCTAATAAGGTGTGTAGATCCAACAACAAATTCATTTTTTGTCTCATAAGTTCTTTCATGTTACCTTTAATTCTTTACTTATTTTAATGACAATTTTTTTTTAAATTTACATCTAAAAATGTATTTAAATACTAAACAAAAAAGAACAAATACCCAAATCGTTCAAAAACCATACAAAACCACTCAAAGAAATCCTTTATATCGTAAAATGAAATTGCAGTAGGATATCCAATTTTGGTTTTTAGATTCTTTTAAGAATTTCTTCTGACAGCTCCCAATATTTTCTTCTCATTTTAACAAAAGAACATATTTGACCATTAGAAAACAGAAGTAAAAGACGTTACTCTATACATAACATTATAAAATGATATATGACAACATTAATGGTAAAGTGAATAATACTGGTATTACTGATTTTAACATAAACCAGAAAATATGACATTAACAAAAACTGAAGCATTAATGGCAAAACTATTGATCCCTGAAAAATAGACCAATGTCCAAAGTTTGATAATATTTACAGGGAATGGGAAGTGAAAATTATGGTCATTGTTTGCAAATTCAACTTTTTTTTCAAATCAGGATTCATGAATCTAATGATCAAAATAAAATGGGTTTTCCTATTAAAGTTCATTTTATTCTGATAAAATGTCTGATGCCAATTGGATTGTATTATATATGAATTTCAGTTAAGAATCATTATTCCTGACTGATTTTTTTCCTCTTATTAAAGGAAATTGTTAGTTTTTTTTTTTTTTGCAACGTCTATCCAAATCAGTTTTTATGAAAAATTGAGGCAGTCTTAATTTTTTCTTTTTCAAGTATACAACAATAAAAAAATCAATTTACTTTAAATTATTAAAAAAAAAAAAAAAAATGTAGATCTTAATTTGGTTAGACATTGTTAACCTTTAGTTAATTTTGTGAAAAATTGTCACAGCATTAGTACTGTCTAGTTTTCAAACACCCCATTTAAAATATATATATATATATATATCATTTAGTTCTTACTTTTCTTGTAATAATTCTTGTCTCAATTATTCTGGGTTTTTTTTTGTTTTATTTTGATAGGTAAATAAAAAAATAAGATTATTTTAAAAATGAAATTGAAAAGGATCAATATTAAAAAATGTATTCATACATTTCAAAAATTAAAATATGCAAAGGCAGCTCAAAGTTCTTTACAGAGAATTGGTTGGTTGTTTTTGTTTACTGGCATATCAACTTCAATGGATTATATAATGCTGAAATCAAAATATTCGGTATGTAATTTTAGTTTTTGAAGATAATAATGGTTTTAGTGATACAAGTTTTACTAATTAACCTATAGCTGGGGGAGCAGAGGTGGATTCAGATGTTTCCAAATAGTATTTTTGTGCATAAGTGAATGTAACTAATTCAACTGGAATTGAAACTCGGCTCTCTGATTAACAATTCCGAGCAATGATCCGTTACACCACCGTCTCATCCAAGCTTATAGAATCTGGTACAAGAACCAGTGTTTCAACATGATGTGGCCATTAGCCATAGAGAATTGCAACACAAGACAATGGCTTAGTGGATTTAAGTGTTGGTTCGTGAATTTGGTGACATGTTAATTGTGAGTTCAATCCCTGGGCTGGCTAGGGTGTACTTGGTCTGTGAAAATGAGATGAGCAATGACCAAGCAGTCTACATAAGAGCCAGACAAGAATCCATAGATAGTAGAATGGGAACAAGTTTGTTTGTTTTCTTCTTTCTTTTTTTTTAATTAAATAAAATGCTCAGTTTGAAATTCCTAAGGTTATCCAGAGCAACAAGCACCTGTTAAATATTAGAGCACACAACAGCCAAAATATTGGCATAACAACAAAGATGAGGACAATGGTCTGCATACAAATAAGGATGACTCCTCATTTAAGAAAATTTAGACAGATACACAAAAGATAGATTTTACTTTACTTCCTGAATGGTCTTTTAATGCAATTTATTATCAGCCCAATCCCACTTCAATTATATTTTTACACATTCCAAACAATAAACATGACCGTCCTGGGTATGACAATAAACTACGTCCAACAGCAGGGCCTCTGATCAGGAGGTTTTGAGAAGCATGGAACTACCTCTTAATTGCTGGTGTTCCCAGGTCCACCCTGATCCAGAGTGGTAGCACCTGTTAGGGTCCCAGCTGTGGGCAAATAGTTGACCCCCACAACCTGACTCAAAACATTAGGAAAGTGTAAAAATAGGTTTTAATACCAGAAATACTTTGTAAAAAAAAATTAGTATCCATAATAAATTTTTGAAAAAAAAAAAAAAAAAAAAAAAAAAAGGATTACCAGCAATAAAAATCTTGTCAGCGTTAAATAACCCATTGAGGTTGATATGCCACAAAAACCAATAAACATGAAAGTTAATGTAATTGTTGTATACAACTACCATAATTATTGCAGAAATTTTTTTCCTGATGGTCATGTGCTTATAATTCATACAAATATTCTGACTAAAAGTAAAACCTCCTTGCAGTTATTCAGAGGTATTCAAAAAGCTACTTGAATGTAATGTTATGTTCATAACATCTGATAATTCATGACTAAAACTTATATGCAAAATTATTGTTGATTCAATTCTGACTTCCATCAAATTAAACACTTCCTGGGGAGTTTCTGAAAAACCACATACTCTCAACAACAAGGATATGTGTTTTTTCTGGAAATTCCTTTTCAAACATTTTAGCTTGCAAGGATGTGAGTGACTCTCCCTTCTCCCTCATGGGTTGGGCATTTATATATGACTTATCATGTGTCTGTATATCCCAAGTTGCACATTTTATGTCAGCATTTAAATCATTTCACTCCAAGCAAGATGATAATGCGACTTGGACACACAGTGTTTCAGGGAGAGAAAGAGAAAACACTAATGAGGAGAAGACAATAAAGGAATAAGGTTCAGGAAGATAGAAGATGGCAATTGAATTTGCATTTAAATTTTGGTAAATTGGAGGTGGCAGGGAGGGAAAAATCAGAAAGAATTCTACAGTGGGAGAAAATGTTAGAAGAGACAGTTGCATCTAGCCAGTTCAACATTAAATTGATGAGACCTAGTTAAAATGCTTAAATTCATGCAGTCTGGACACCAAGGAGAAAAGCTTATCCAAACAATCGTCATAAAAATATTTCTATAAAAGACATCATGCCAATGAGAAAGTGATCGAAGTCAAGGTGCCAGTCCAGGATTAATTACATTACAGACCCTCTTCAAGTTTTGTCAAGTATCTTGGAGATATATGGCTGGAGCACCAAAGCAGATATTGCAGCAGTCCAAGGACATCCTTTGAGGCCAGATTCTGCATTTGATAGCTATGAGGACACCACGTAGGTCAATCCTCCAACTTACCTAGCCCTTTTGATATTCTGGGGTGGTAAAGTACAAAGCTTACTTTGCCATCTCTTGGGCCAAGCTTATAGTTATTGCGGGCACCACAGATCAAAGGTTCCTGATTGACAATTTGATTCAGTCCTCTGAGGTAAATCACATATTGCATGACTGACCATGAAAATCTGACTCACCACTTGCTAAATATTAACAAAAGAAATACTTGGTGAGGTTTTTCAAACATCACGTTACTAATAAAGGGCTTATGTTTCATTTTGTACATATCTTGAGTGAGATGATGCAAAAACATGCCACTTGGTATTTAGCATAGAGTGATGGTTAATGAGCTTGTTCTAGAGATCCTTACGACTGGAAGTTGGAATCTCACTGGGTGCTTTCTACTTGTATTCTTATGAGAGACGAACAAGTTTAGTAAGTATATTAAATAAAAACATATTTACTTTTCATGATTTTTAATTTGAAACCCTCAAAGTATCAACTTTCACAGACATTAAACACTTAGACATTTAAATTATTGTACATTTTTTTTTTACATTTACCAATTTCAGGATGTAAAAGATCACATACTCAAAGAAATGCTTACCTTTGGAAAAAATGGTGGTCTGAAAGGATTTGAACAGGTAATTTAAATTATATCTTTATTTATTTACACTATTTACATTGTTTGGACTATTTTCCTCATCTTTGTCATATTCGCAATGTTTTGGCCATTGTACGCTCCGAAATTGTTCGGATGATATATATTGGAATTTCAAAACGAACCCTTTATTTCATTCAATGTATATCACCTGAAGAAGGCCGGAGCATACAATGGCCGAAATGTTGTGAATATGACAATAAAGGTGATGACAATAGTTCAAACAATGTAAATAGCATAAATATTTACAATACCTCATCTCATAAATATAGATAGATAGATCTTTTTATTTATTTCTTTAAATGCCATGTTCCTTCAGAGCATAGGTGATCGTGGCTTACTTCAGATACTTTTCTTTTGAACTGCCATGACTTCTTGGGAATGATAGTGGAGTGATTTTCTGCTGATTTTTCTGTTGTTTCAAATTCAGAATTGTCTTTCTCATTGTGTGGATACCACCCAAAACTATAGTGCCCAGCCTGTTCTGCTATTTACCCCATAGCTGAGAGAAGATATATGTATTGAGACCAGAATTTGAACTCTGCTTGCCAATTCTTATTAGGCTAGTGTTACAAGAATGTATTTATATGAATGAAACTTATTCAGGTTCTGGGTCATTTACATAAAAGAATTCAAAGAACTTTTTGATGTGGTCAAATGACCTTATAAAGTGGGGGTCTTTCATCTGGGTATTCATATTTGTTGGTTTGTGCCAAAATTAAGTGAGTTGGCTGGCAAAGTCAGTTGTTGTAGAAATCTGACTCAGAGCAGTCCATTTACTACAATTCACTGATCTGACAAGTAAACTATACCACAAAAAACCCATCAACTCCTGATTGAAGTTATTTTGAAGTATTTCTAACTTCATGCCAGTAAGCCTTTATGTTTTACCATTTTAGCCAATGACCAAATCACTAAAATTATAATAAAGCCTACTTTTGCCATAATCCTTGCCTTCAGCTCATCTTTGATGTTACAAGGAGTTTTGTTGGTCTCTCACTCACTTGCACTCCACACACAATCAAGGAGTTGCAGTCTGGGGAGTTAGGTGACCAGATGTAAGAAGTGATGTGGTTGCAGAACTTGCCTGACAGCCATGACTGGCTTCTACTTGTGTACCATGGTGCAAAGTTCTGTTGCCAGACATAGGGTCTTCCAGCAGCCACCCTCTTGACCCAGGCCAGCATTACTTCCTCAAGGCACTTGATGTAGGCCACCATGGTCTGAGGACTTCACAAGCAAATTTGGGAGTTCTTTTTTTTATCTGAATGAGTTTTCCAAGCTGCTGTACCTTCATGATCAACATTAGAATCATCCAACACTTTCCTAATCCTCTGCACTGTCCTCATATTCACATCCAAACACTGAAATTTTTGTATTGGAGCTACCTGCACAAAAGCTAAGCAGTACAGCATGCCATTTCCAAATTTCTAGCAGAATGATTTGTGTCGTGGGGCTCTCTGTCTCGCAGACAGTGCCCAACTGACCCTACTATACCATGCAGTTGACAAAATCAAAGACAACACACAAAATGAAAAATATAAAATGGCAACAATTTGCCCATGGTACCCTGTACCCAGACTAAATTTCACACAATACAAGGCTCTAGAGTCTGAGAGAAAAAGCTGTCTGAATCAAACTTCCTTCTTATGACTGGAAGAGAGAAAAATGGATGGCAAGTAGTCTAGGACTGAATTCAAAATCATAGAGGAGGCAAAAGAAAACCATTCCACTATCTTTCCCTAGATGTCATGGCAAAACAGATGATTCCAATTTCAGTGCAAATGACAACACTTGACCCTCCACAATTTATAGGTGGAAGCATACAAATGCATGCTGAGATTTTTTTTTCTTAGCCAATAGGCTGGTTCTCAGTTTTGTTTGTCTTGTCCTGAAGTCAGAATGCTACGTTCATTTGTCCAAACTTGCTCTTATGTGTCAACACCAATTCTTAGTTTGTGAACTTTTTGCCATATTACTGTTAATTTGCCTTGAATATATTCTTTACTTGCTTTATAAAAAAAAAAAAAAAAAAAAAAAGTTTTTCCCAAGGGAGATAATTTATTATGCTTAAAGTTTTTTTTTGTGTGGAGGCACAGTGAAGTAATGGATAGAGGCTCAAATTAAGAAATCTGAGAGCAGAGTCCAAATTCCAGTCAAGTTCATTACGTTCACTCATGTGCTAATACCCTTGAGAAAGGTATGAATCCATCACTTCTCTCCAACCCCAGCTATGGGTAAAATATCAGGAGAGATTTGGTCCTATAACTGGTCTAGGTGCAGAACAATCTTGAATTCAAAACCTGTGAAAAATGAAGTAGTAGATTGAGCTCTATAGTCTAGATTGGCAACCAGACTAGGAAAAGGAAAACTGAATTCAAACCAGCCTGGAGAGGTTTGGGGCTCCATCAGACTAGATTGTCCAGGAAACACCATTGATACTGCAGCTGCTCTATAAGTAGTGCCCCTAAAATCCTAATGGATTATGAGACATGTAGAACACAGTAATGATAACAGACATGTGAAAAGGAAACTACAAAACCTCCTACAGAAGGTAGCAAAGCAGAGCAAGAAAAAGGGACTAAGCATAAACTACAAGAAGACAGAATGCATGGTCATCAGTAAAAGGATGAGCCTGAAATGCTATTTGTGGGTTGAGGACACTAAGCAGGTGCAGTAATTTAAATATCTGGGAAGTGTTTTGACAGAGGACGGTAATTGCAAGGCTGAGATCCAATGACGTGTTGGGATGGGCAAGGACACATTCCAAAAGCTGGGCAGAGTATTGCAAGACTGGAGGATTTCTTTGGTAACAAAGAAAAGAGCTTTTATGTGACATCTTCCCTCCTTTACAGCAGTAAATGTTGGCCAGTCTCCTCAAAGATGAAGAAGAGACTCAAGGCAACAGAGATGTGATTCTACAGAAGGATGCTGAGGATATCATGAACTGGGCGTGTGAGCAACAATGAGATCTTGGAGAGGATGCAAATAAGGGGGAGGCTTATACTTAACATCAGGAAGAGGCAGTTGAAGTTTCTGGGACACAATGAGAAAGGAGGGCCTGGAGAATGTGATACTCACAGGTTGAATAGAGGGAAAGAGAGACAAGGGAAAACAATGCATGACATACCTGGCAGGTATAAGCAAGTGGATGACAGAATGTGGTCTAGGGGAGGTGGCAGAGGGACAAAACTTACTGAGAGCTACAAGGGATGGGATAAGTGGAGGGCCATGATCGCCTACGTCCTGAAGGAACATAAAAAGAAAGAAATGTATATATATTACAGTTTTTAATTAAAACAAGCTGTTACAATTTTCATCAAAAATACAAATGTTTCTTAAACTTATTTTCATTCCAACTGACCAAAATGTATATATTTTATATTGAAATTTTTTATACAGGTTTTGCAATAATTTATTTTAATAAATTTTACAGGTTAAAGATATTCATCTTCACTCACAGCCTTTCTCGATTGAAAATGGTCTACTGTCGCCAACATTAAAAAGCAAAAGAATAGCCTTACGGAAGTATTTTGCGGACCATGTAACCAAGCTCTATGAAGTCAACCAGTAAATTCCCAAAGAGAATCTTAAATATATATATATATTCATCCATACATAAAATGAAACTAACTCATGAAAATAAAAGAAAAATTAATGAAAGATAACAGGACAAAAATCCAAACAAATATTTTTACAGGTTTGTACATTGCGATATCAGACTTTAAAAAAAAATAAAATAAAAATAAAAGAACTAACTTGTTTGCTTAATAAACTGTTCAAAAAGAAAATGAATCTAACCATTCCCATTTATTTTTTATGAAATCTTTGAAAATCTGTTCTCTACACACATACCAAGAATAATTTTGAGGGAATAAACCATATATAAAAAAAAAAACTGGTTTTGATAGTTCTTCTATTTTATCCACATGCCTCTAACTATCCCTCCTAGTCCCTATTTGTTCATCATATTTTGCTGCTAATAAAACACTTCTAAATTTTAAAGGAAAAATCAGATAAAAAGTTTTTTTCTTGTATTTCATCGCCCTCTTGACTATCTCCAGTTTTACTCACTGAATAGAATATATCAGCAGGAAAACCTGATTAAGCAGAACAAATTGAAAACATTATGGGAAGTACCAAATTTGTGGTAACTATTTAGAATAATTAGAAGAGATATTAAAGCACATAACACTGAAACCTAACCTAATTGCAGCCTGAAATTCTCACTAATTATGACAAATTCATCACAAAACAAGATGGAGCATGAATATATATTACATGAATCATTCATAAAAAAAAAAAAAAAAACAAATATAGAGGTTAATGATTTAAATGGCGAGAATACATCTTCACAAACAATTTCAATAAGGTACACTAACCCCAAACCTGTATATGAATGATATGATCCCTATTTATAAATTTCAGTTGCATAAGGTCTTTTTTAGTTTTTACAAGCTTTCGTCTGTTCCTACAGACATCATCAGGTATGGAAATAGATTTGTTCTTGTTTTTTTACTTCTCGGTAATAACAGGACAATGAAATGATAGATGTAATCCGAAAAAAATGCTATGAGAAATGTTTTATTGTTTTATAATATATATATATATATATATATATATATATATATATATACACACACACCAACGGCTTCCCATACTTAATACTTCTAGTATTCACTCTTGCGTGGTCATGTGTGACGTCACGAGCTGCGATGCGATTTTCGCTTCTGCGACTCGTATACACGAGTTAGTCTGTTTTTTGTTGCATGAAAAATTTCAAACCAACGACAATCATTGTTTCGTCCGTGTATCTTTTGATATATTGAAATGTTATTGTCATCTTGGATAATGGCTTATGTAAGCCGAAAGCTTAGATTGGATTTAAACATGTATCAATATGGTGATTTCCTTTCGTCCTTCAATGATGATGTTATTAAGCTTATCAGACAATATGAAAGGAACTTACTTAAAATAAACAGACAAAACTTGTCTTCTATATTATTTAATGAAACATGCATCAATGAAAAATTGCTGCCTAAAATATACAAAAAAAATATATATATATATATATATATATATATATATATATATATATATATGTGTGTGTGTGTTTATATGTTCTTTTTATAGATACAAATAATTAAGTAAATGCTCTGTTTATAATAAACAGTATTAACAACATTTACTGGCCTGAATGTCCGAGAAATTTTCATAGAAAATATGCGTCCTCCAACAGGAATCGAACCTGTATCCTATATGGAACCGTCATATAGCTTGACGCGCTTTTACCGATTGAGCCACAAAGGAGCGTTTCGGTTAGCAAGGTCGATTTTACAGTTTTTAAACCACAATTCTCCATGATTTTCTCTCATGCATCCATATCTGCTCGAAATGTATCTATAATAAGAACGTATAAACATAAATGTCTTAAAAATAATTGTCGGACTTTGTCCATATCTTAATGTGTGTCGTATATATATATATATATATATATATATATATATATATATATATATATATGCGCGCGCGCGCACACACACAAATTCTATTTTGTAAAAAACAGAATAATCGTGCTGACCAGAATCAGACCACTAAGCAATAAATGTGTAGAATAGCCGAATTGATTATTTGAACAGATTTTTTTCCCTTAAATCATGGCGATATTTTCCTTACTTTGTTCAATATTATTTTGTCTTTTTACATTTTGCCAGTTTGTCACTTTCTTCATCATTTTGTCTTTCGATTCTCACCTGCTATTGAATTCCACACGAAGGAAGTGCAAGTCAAGAAACTGTTGGAGTAGAAGTAACAGTTGCTTTTAGCTATTTCGATAGTAAAAACTGTGTGACTTAGATACCAATCTAGTCACACGCTTATATTCATATATTCAGAGCACCACTGAAAAAAGCTCGTCAGAGCAGTTTCCATGAAAATATTTGCAGAAATGTCAGAGGGAACAGGAGCAGATGAAATCATTTACAATTCACTTGACTACGTGTGTGTCTCAATGAGTTGATCCGGAAACTATTGTCACAATGCCATCTTTTTGCTTACATCCACGAGTAGCATTAGTTGTAATATTAATTTATCAGATAAATAACTTAATCAATATAAATTCTGATTAAGCTTATTTTTTAATTTCCAAAATGCTTTCTGAACATTATGGATTGAAGTTCAGTTACATTAAAATACAACTGAAGTTAACATTTAAAATACAAATTAAATGAAGTATCAACAGTTATTAACGTTTCATTTGTGACGTACAATGGCCGTTAATAATTAAGTATAACTCAGGACTTCAATGTTGAGATAAAACGGTATTTAATTTCAACCGCAAATAAATTATTAACGAGGACAACGAAGTAAAAGTCAACCAAAGATAATTAACTATTTCAGTGAATAGTTTGGTAGTAGCGAGGATCGGTTTAACGTCCGGTAAATCCTAAATCAAAACTCAAATCATAGACGCAAAATAATTCATACTAATTCGACTGGATAGCTCCACTCAATAGTCACCGCAGTTATTAGCCTGACACCGCTATTTATGCACCTGGTGGAAAACATATTCATAAGTCCAGAGTGTCATGCTCGAACCTAGGTGTCGGTAGTTGAATATTTCCTTCCTATATGACAGTTTCAAATGTTCAAACAAGATGTCACTATTAGATTTAAACGAGGAATAACATTAAAGAAAAGAAAACGAATAATGCTGGTGATACATACAAGAAATTAAGATGATTATTCGAAACGACTGCGACTGAAACGAAACTGTCTTTTAGTAATCTTAGAGAAACATTTTTTTTTTTGCCTACCATTGATATGGCTGATGATAACCTCCAGGAGGGCACCTCCTTGTGCCTTCTCACTCACTTTTTCCAATGACATAAAATGGAATGATTGTATATAATCAATTGCTAGGTCTACTGCTAGGAAAGTTGTATCATACCAGACAATTTTTCTTGGCAGAATCCAATCAAGGCACAGACGAAGGGTAGGTTTATAATCTACCATTCGTCTGTGCCTTGAATATTGTTGTCATATATGGCCCGATGGTCCTGCTATATATTTCAATATTCTTTACAAAATCCAAAAGGGTCTGTGATATTATCGGTCCTGACCTGGCATCTCAGCTTCAGTCGTTCTACCATCGTAACGAAGCTTCCTTGCCTTTTCTATAAATATTACCATGGCAATTATTCTGAAGTGCTTTCATCCACGGTACCCCGACCACATGGATTTAAGAGTTGTACTAGATTGACAACTAAGTTTCGATTTGCTGTTGTAAAATATATTCTAATAGTTTTTCTTGGCATTTCTCGTCTGTGGAACTCTTCCTGCTTCCATGTTGTTTAAGCGCAACATTAACTGCAACCATCTGCCTTCCTGAATTCTGTTCTTTTATTGTCTTTTCTTGGGTTTTAGTGGCACTGTCGCCTTCCATAGGGTGAAACGATTAAAACAAGCGTAACCTTTGAGAATAAAGAGACTACTTGCAAATAATGAAGAAGCTTAGTGAATACAGAATATGGAGTGAGACAAGAATGTGTTTTCTCACTGGATTTATTTAACCTATACAGCGAGACTATTTTAAGAGTACTAAACGACCTACCAGGATTTATTATTGACGGATAATCTTAACGTAATATATGTGAACAGATTCAGAATGAAAACAAACTCTTAGACAAAGTAATAAAGGAAAGCAAGAAGAAATAAAAATTACCTGGTTGTCAGTAAAACAGTTTGAGTTAATGTATTAGGAACATCAAAGCTGACCAACTACAGAAATCTATCTGGTCATGAAACAGGTGATGAAAAAAATGTTACGCAGGAATCGGAAAGTGCATAGAAGTAGCATAAGATATCTTTCATAATTTAACTATTAAAAACACAAGGATATGTCATTAGAAACAAAGAAAAGATTGACTCTCTAACGGGAGAGGGCTATGGAAGAAAGATTTATTCTCCCATTTGTATTTCCCCCGTTGTGGGCATTAATATGTCCGTGATATAATAACACCGTATTTCACGGATGGAACAGAATGACTGAAAGGAAAAAGATTGACAAACATGCTTTGTTCTCAGAGAAACTTTTATACCACTATGACATACACAAAACTATATATATATATATATATATATATATATATCACACACACACGACCCAGGCAGAGAAAAAATATATATCTATATGGAAAAGCTGAGCGTAAGGCGAAACAAAAAGGTAGGGTCTTACATATAATATGGAGACACTATATATCTGAAGAAGTCATGTTTAGAACTCCAGATTCAAACGGGCCGGATTCATCTATATCCCAGGCGAGGACATATTCCACAAACGGGAAACAGCGAGTCTTTGGTTCTCCCAAATTGAGGACTAGGAGCTGGAGTTTCTATATCTGCGAAAGATATTCCCAAAGAGAAATGGCATCATGGACTTGTAAACTGCTGGGGAGGCAGATTTAGCCTCTGGCTGGGCATTGGGGACCCGGGATAAAGAACGCAACCTCTCGGTTGGGGATGTTGTAAAATCTAAATTTGTCTGCCGCTTTCGTCACTATGTGACCTTTAATTTGTACGTGACATTTCTGTGCTTTTTTAGCGGAAAAAAAACATCGATTTGTAAATTCTTGCAAAAATTAGATAATTGCAGGATTTTAACAAAACATTTTAAGATTTAATCAGAAATGAATCAAATTATTTTTAAACGTTTCTTTTAAAAAAAAAATTAAGTTTAAGAAATATAGATCTGTTAGACTCTAGTTCTTTTGTTTTAATAAAATTTCGAGAAATTCTTTTTTGCTTCACTTAATGTAGGTAGATCGAAAATTCACTAAAGAATAATCATATGATTAAAGAAATGGCCAAAACATAACTTATTAAGCGGAAAGATCAAAGGATTTATTTTAATTATTGTTTTTAAATCCTTTTCAGAACCTTCAAAACTTGGGTTAAAAATCTTGTTTCTCTGGCGTTAACAGCAACCATAAATTAATACGGGGAATTTCATCGACTTTTTGCGGTTAAAAAACATAGGCTTGGAAATTCTTGAAGGTAAAAAGTTGTCGGATTTTATTGAAACTTTCAGAATTTTATTAAAAAATGAGTGAAATTGTTGGCCCCTACACTTATTTAATTTTTTTATGTAATTTCGAAAAATTTTCCTTTTTAGCGCTTAATACTAGTTATCAAGTCCAGGAAAAATTTAAATCATTGATTGCTTTTGTTTTGGGGACAAACGGGAGTCCCAGTAACTGAAAATCTGCTTCAAATCGTGCAATAAAAAAAATAAGACATTGTTTAATTAGAAATACTTTTATGAATAAAATATATTATTGATATTATTTTCTAAAGAACACACACAAAAAAAAAAAAAAAGATTTTTCGATTAATAATGAATTTTTACAAGAATTCATATTTTTGTTAAAATTAGAAAAATTCATAAACTTGTATCGGTCGTGATACTGATATTAAATAAAAAAAATTAATAATCATAAATGGGAAAGTTTATTACAATTAACCGACCGCTAGTATTTTAAAAAGAATATTGAATTTGTGTATAAACGTACGTTTTTTTTTTGGGGGGGGGGTTGTAAACACGGACGTCCATATACGACATTATCAGAAAATAAGAGCGGAAACTAAATTTATTAATAATTTTCTAACATTTTTTCAACCAGTCTTATAGTTTTCGTAAGACTATAAAGTGCCTAAAATTGTATAAAATATTAGATGGTTTAAAAAATAAAATATTTAAGATTACTAGGTAGTTAAAAATTATATATATATAAAAAAAAAGAAAAAAAAAAGGCGTTCCCGCTTTATTCATGTAATTTTTTTCAATTCAATTCACCTTAAATTTCCCAAACACCATACTGTCAATAAAATCACTCAATACGTCACAAAAATACCCAAGAAAAAAAAAATTGTTTTTCTGCAGTATTTTAAACTAAAAAGTAATATTTGTTTCAATGAAGATTGATTAAACTTTAAATCAGCAAATATTCTTCAAATAACGTTTCAGAAAATTATATTTTATTTTTGAAACATTTTTTAATGCAGAGAATTATTTTGTGTTGAGAAATTTCTCAATATAGACAAACATATCGATTTTAATGATAAGGAGAAGAAACATTCTAATAAATTTAAATTCGGTTTGAAATACAAAGTATTTTGCTTACTGGAAATATTAAATTTAATCTATTACCTTCGAATTAAAACTAAAATTAAAGCTTCAAAAAAGATTTTTTTCATTTTCTTTAAAAATCCATTTTAATCTTCAGTATCGTTCTTTTAAGATAACTAAATACCACAGATATTTATAAAATTATGTATCTTCGAGCAATATTGTGTCAAAAGAAAGATTATTTTTTTAAATTCTAACCTCTCCTTATGTGGTTTTGTAGGTTTTAGGAGTGTAATGATTATAAGACATAGGTCATCTGATAATGCTGTAGACAGAAATAAAATATATAAACAAAAATAAAAGGAATTCAAATTAAAATAAGGCATTTGCACTTTCCTTTAAAACTGTCTATATACTTCTCTCTCAACTAATGAGAAAGCAACTTCAAATAATAAAAAAGAAAAGACTGAACCAAAAAACGACGAAAGTTTGCGGGTGAAGAGCATACTTTGTTATTACTATAAATATACCAAAATAACACCGGCTCCACGCATAACTTCCATTATAAAAAAAGGAGAAAAGAAAAGAAAGAGGGAGAAAAGAAAAGAAAGAGGGAGAAAAGAAAAAAAGAGTAGAAAAAAGAAAAAAGAGGAGAGAAAAAAAAAAAAAAAAGAAAAAAAAAAAAGAAGAAAAAGAAGAGAAGAAAAGAAAGAAGAAAAAGAAGAGAAGAAAAGAAGAGAAGAAAAAAAGAAGAAAAGAAGAGAAGAAAAAGAAGAGAAGAAAAAGAAAGAAGAAAAGAAGAGAAGAAAAGAAGAGAAGAAAAGAAGAGAAGAAAAGAAGAGAAGAAAAGAAGAGAAGAAAAGAAGAGAAGAAAAGAAGAGAAGAAAAAAGAGAAGAAAAAAAGAAGAAAAAAGAAGAAAGAAAAGAAGAAGAAAGAAAAGAAGAGAAGAAAAAGAAGAGAAGAAAAGAAGAGAAGAAAAAAGAGAAGAAAAAAAAGAAGAGAAGAAAAAGAAGAGAAGAAAAAGAAGAGAAGAAAAAGAAGAGAAGAAAAAGAAGAGAAGAAAAAGAAGAGAAGAAAAAGAAGAGAAGAAAAAGAAGAGAAGAAAAAGAAGAGAAGAAAAAGAAGAGAAGAAAAAGAAGAGAAGGGAAGAGAGAAGAAAAAAGAGAAGGGAAAAGAGAAGAGAGAAGGGAAAAGAGAAGAGAGAAGGGAAAAGAGAAGAGAGAAGGGAAAAGAGAAGAGAGAAGGGAAAAGAGAAGAGAGAAGGGAAAAGGAGAAAAAAGAAAAGGAAAATGAAAAAAAAAAAAAAGATACGCCGGAAAATAAAATAATTTTGTCAATCCAAAAAATTAAGACTTTTGATGTTAGCCGAAACCAAGGTTAGAACCAGAGTCTTTCGAAGTCTGGTCAAAAGGATATATGCTCACATCTCAGAACTAAACGAAAAGGGACGACAAGAGAAACAACGGAGAAAAAAGACGCTACCATTAATAGGAAAGATTGACATCGTAGATACGGCCCTCGGTTAAAATGGAATTGTGCTGTGAAGCATTACTAATAAAATGGAATTTTTTTTTATCCCCATAAAACTTGCTGTACAAAATAAGATGGAAAAACACTCACAAGTTAATGCCCGACTACTTATTAACATTAAGACGCTACTTACGAACCGGTATATGTTGATTACCAGTCAGATTCTGGAGAACAGAACTTCAAATTTTACCAGACCTTTGACAATCCACTTTTTCTCAGGTTTTAAAACAATTTCCTATGCTAACTGGATGCTTCTAATCGGCTATGTCAGACAACTAACCAACTAAACCCGGTAAATGCTTATTAGGTTTCTTTTTGGCAACATCATGAACAGAATCTCTTACAAAATATAACCTATTGCCAGGCCTTTACGGGATTTCTGGTATGATTGAGTAAATATTTAATCCCCATTATGTTGTGAGAATCAGCACTTTGGGTAGTAAATATTTACGGGCTCCTGGGAAAATAATCCCACAAACAATATTGACGGATTCAATGTGAACCCAAGTAAAAACGGGTACACAAAACAATATAAAACAAACGACAATGAATGCATTTACAAAAGAACTACGTGTGACGAAAAGGAAAAAAACATGAAACTAAGATGTGTGCGAGAGAGAGAGACAGAACCAGAAAGAGAGAGAGACAGAACCAGAAAGAAAGAGAGAGAGACAGAACCAGAAAGAAAGAGAGAGAGACAGAACCAGAAAGAAAGAGAGAGAGACAGAACCAGAAAGAAAGAGAGAGAGACAGAACCAGAAAGAAAGAGAGAGAGACAGAACCAGAAAGAAAGAGAGAGAGACAGAACCAGAAAGAAAGAGAGAGAGACAGAACCAGAAAGAAAGAGAGAGAGACAGAACCAGAAAGAAGAGAGAGAGACAGAACCAGAAAGAAAAGAGAGAGACAGAACCAGAAAGAAAGAGAGAGAGACAGAACCAGAAAGAAAGAGAGAGAGACAGAACCAGAAAGAAAGAGAGAGAGACAGAACCAGAAAGAAAGAGAGAGAGACAGAACCAGAAAGAAAGAGAGAGAGACAGAACCAGAAAGAAAAGAGAGAGACAGAACCAGAAAGAAAGAGAGAGAGACAGAACCAGAAAAGAAAAGAGAGAGACAGAACCAGAAAGAGAGAGAGACAGAACCAGAAAGAAAGAGAGAGAGACAGAACCAGAAAGAAAGAGAGAGAGACAGAACCAGAAAGAAAGAGAGAGAGACAGAACCAGAAAGAAAGAGAGAGAGACAGAACCAGAAAGAAAGAGAGAGAGACAGAACCAGAAAGAAAAGAGAGAGACAGAACCAGAAAGAAAGAGAGAGAACCAGAAAGAGAGAGAACCAGAAAGAGAGAGAACCAGAAAGAGAGAGAGACAGAACCAGAAAGAGAGAGAGACAGAACCAGAAAGAGAGAGAGAGAACCAGAAAGAGAGAGACAGAACCAGAAAGAGAACGAAAGTTAGGTGAGAAAACCATGAAAATGAATGTGCCCCAGCGGGGTACCCTTTTTTTCTCCACCTGTGACCATTTTATAGCCAGAAGCTGTACGACGGTTTTTTTAGCAGTTAAGTGGGACACCGAATGAAAGTGGGTAGAAGGACCATGTGATCACTGGCCCATGAACAATCAAAAGACCCGTTAAATATATTGAAATACGGTGTTTTTCGTGTGCCAAGACGCATTTTTTTTCCTGAAAAATATTCTAAAAAAATGGCCAAGTCTTAAGATTGAAAGGCATGTTTGAAGAGAGGATTTTCCCAACCCACATACAAGTAATGACAAACCCCAGACATAAGCCTACAATTAGTTCTTATTTTATCAAATTAAGCATTGTTAATTACTGTAATAATACAAATAGATAATCGATAATATATTCATCCAGTAATAGCAAACTATTGCAGCGACGATGAAAAAGCAACGCATCTTTTACGATCTTGAACGCAGCCCTGAAACACCAGCTGAGAGTTGGATGTAAACACGCTGTGTTGAGACGCTTATGTAGTGGCAAGTAAGAGTTGTTTTTGATATGAATAAACATTATGCTAAACTATTGAAAATATAATCTATAATAACCACAATAATTTCAAAATGACACCACAGAGTTGGCGACTTGGAGTTGCTCGTACGGTAAGCTATTAAATCCGCAAATGTTTTCCAAGAAGAATATCTAGTTAATTATAGGGTGCGTTTTACCACCCTATAATTCGTCTTAGCGCATGAAAAATACGGCAGTTTTGATTCGAAACCGTACTGAGTAATCTCTAATAAAATTATTTCCGACACATGCAAAAATTTAACTTTATACAAATGATTTCTCCCCGCCCTTTCTTGTTGATATTCGTGAAGCGGTAGCTATGTCACCTGAAGGTCTATCTGTATCACCAAAAATGTTTTCAACTCAACGATACAGAAGAAAGGCAAATACACAACAGGTTGGAAATCCATGAAACAGGAATAAAATTTTAAAAAAAATAAAAGTCTAATTCTGGTGTGTGTGGGGGGGGGGGAGATACGCCTTTCTTTAAGAACCAAGTTAGCTTGACTAAGAGCGCTAGAAAGGGTTACAGAGTAAGAGGCACAGTTTACGGAGATATGAAGAAAATAACGGTTGACTCTAGATTGAACAGGTCGAGATTATAGTGATCGCAGAAGTATCCTCTTGGAAGTCGGTTCCCCAAAGCAACGGTTTACATGAAAGAACTGCTCTTGGCACTTTCTTGCAATCTTCCAAGAATTTTTTTTAATTAAAAGAATTATTGAAAGATTATAATATATGCTAATCTAAAAAGTTCAATATCCGATGAAGATGATCAGTAAAGAAATCTGCAATCTAACATTATCACGATGGAATATTACAACCCTTTTCATAACTAAATTCCAAACGCTTTTCATCTGTTACAGCCTTCATTTGATCTAATGATGAACAGTATTTATTTGAATCAATCTTTTTTTTTAGGTGTGTGTGTGTGGGAGGGGAGAGGGGCAAAGCTCCTAGGAGAGGTCTCATTTTCTTGGCATGAAGACCAGCATTCAATGATAATTCATTTCACTTCTTTGATGATCACTTGCATTCCACATTGTTTAAAATTATCCATTTTTCATCGCCAATTTCAATTTGTTTGAAAACAAAAAGATTATCATTTCAACTAACGGACTACAATCAGAAGTGCAGTAGCTTTAGTATTCAGAAATATACTAAATGCTTTTTAATGTGCGTTGATATGACAGTTGTAAAAATATAATGAAAAGTGATCTTTTTTAAATGAACTTAAAACTAAAAAATATTAATGCCTTCTACCATACGATCTTTTTAACCAATCCGTGAATTTTCTAAGAAAAAATATAACCAAAGAGTGACTTGGCCCAAAGAGTTGTGAGTTCAATACCAGCAGAAGGAAGAAAACTTGGAGAGTTGAGTTACTGAAGGGAATTAACTGAAACAGAGATACCCAAAAAGGCAACGCCCATAAAATTAGAAATATCTTACCCCGTGGACTAAATAAAGTGTTCGTTTCGAAAGTCCAACGTATATTCTCTGAAAAGTCCAAAGCATTCAAAGGTTGAAACGTCGTGAATATTGCAATAAAGATGAGGACAACAGTCCGAATCATGTAAATAACGTAAATAGTTACAATACTTCATCTCAGAAATAGTGACAGACATAAAACCAAAGTACAGTTGTAAAATAATTATAATTGGTTGTAGAATACAAGCTATACGATATTGTTAAGGAAAACGGCAAGTATATTGTAAAAATAAGGAGTATTGAAAAGGTCTCGACACGTCCCCTCCACAAAAAAAAAAAAAACATCATTTGGTCCATTTTGGGGATGCTGATGAAACCGGGAAATTTTCAACACCCCACTAACCTCTTATTCTTCTGAAACATTTTTTAAAATTTTATTTCAAATAGAAGAACCTTGGAAACGAAATAATTTAGAGTTCTTTAATAAAATTCAAAGAAGAATATGCAATGTCATTGGTGCTAACCTGGCATCTCGGCTTCAGTCATTTCCTCATTGTCCTAATGTAGCTTCCCTGTGCCTTTTCTATAAAGACTTTTATGGTGATTGTTCTGAACTCTCCTCTATGGTACCTAGACTTTATGAATTTAAGTGCAGTACTAGATTGGCGGTAAGGTCTCATCATTTTACAATTGAAATGGCTAAATGTAACCGTAAGTTCCATGTTAACATTTTTTTCGCACTTCTAGCTTGTGGAACTCTTTCCAGTAACTTGCTTTCTAATACATCTTAATTTTTGTTTTTATTTTTCTCGCTTAATTTTTTTCTTATTCTTTCACGTTCAGTACCCGCCCCTGCGTCTTAGTAGCTTTGTCTTGCTTTTTTTTTGCTTTTTTGCGTTTTTTTAAGCGTTTCACCCCAAGCAAGGCGAGAAGCCACTAGGACGCAAGGGGTTACAGAATATTTGGAGCAAGATGAGAAAGGATGAGGAGAAGGGTAGTGGATAGAGCAAGGCAACTGGAGATGTCGATTGACATTACATTTGAATAGTTGGAGATTATAGCTCTCAGGGAAACTGGAATAGGGAAGGGAGTTCCACAGGCGAGAGATGCGAGACATGAAGCTATTGGAGTAGAAGAGACGGCTAAGTTTAGAAGTTTCGACAGTAAAAGGGTGAGAGCGGGATGCCAGCCTCGTAGGGCGCTTGAACTCATGAAGTCTGGGAACCAGCGAATGCAGCTCCTCGGAGCAATTGCCATGAAAGTATTTGTAAAACAGAGAGAGAGGCGACGGCGCGTCTGTGAGAAAGTGACTGTAGACGAGATGCCAGAGCAGGGCCAATTATATTGCATATCCGCCTCTGGAGCCTATCAAGAACCCCGAGGCAAACAAAAGGGGCTAGGGTGAAATTATCAGAACAAGTTATATTTTACTATAAGTATTTAGAACTACCTTATATTATCAGTAGTATCATTAGTAGCAGCAGTAGTAAGGCTCAGATTAATCCAAAAAATTAAGCATATTTTAAGAATTACGTGAGGCTCTAATTATCATTAACACAGCTTCATTAATCCTTAACCCTTTGAGCCCCGACCAGCGCTTTACCGGTGGTAGAGAAAAATGACGTAATGTCCAGCCACCGGTTGAACGGTGGGTAAACACTTGTAACTATTTTTACATCTACCATGAAACATTACATACCAATTTGCGAATTTTGACTCCGGCAGAAAGGTTAAAATTGTTCAGGAACGCAAGGCTCAAAAGGTTAATAAGTGAAATTTCTAACTCATTAGGGTTATGAACGTGAGCATGAAATAAGGCTGAAACTTGAGATTTTGCTAATCACGACAAGGCTCAGCTAAAATTCTTTATGTACCATGTCTCCGCAGGACGTAGGCGATCATGGCTCGCTACAGTTCACTGTCCTTCGTACACCTTAATAAATATTATCTTTGTTATTCCTCATAAACCTTGTTCCACTTTTTCTCAAACTTAAATTAACAGTCATTATTTCCTCTCTAAGTAAATATATGACAAGTTATACTTAGTATGATCTGTGGGGACTGTATAAGAGAAAAAAAAATAAGAGAAGAATCTCCCAAGATGCTCCCTGACAGTAAGAACAAATGGCGCATGCGAATAAAAGAGGGCTTCCTGGCGCCAAAGACAAACAAGAAGAATCAGTCTCTTTTCCCCTGAATTTTCAACGGGTAAAAACGTGTCTTTTGCTCGGAAAGGCGTTTCCCTTCAACGTTGTTATTCTGTAATAAAGTTTCTAAATCTATTTTTAGTGTGTCTCCTTTCCATTCTATTTCAGCAGCGAGAAGTCAACATGGATCTGGAGTTTAAACAGAAATCACCAGAAACACCTCAAAGAATTATACCTTTTAAAATTCCAAAGATCCTCACAGCAGAGAGTTGCACTGTTTTGCTATTAGAACAAGGCTCAAATTATTCCAAAAATTACGCATACTTTACAAATGAAGTGATACTGATTATTTTCAACACAGATTTATTAAGCATTAATAATTGACATTTCTCACCGATTAGGTCTATAGTTTAAGTATGAAATTCAGTTCAGACTTGAGAATATACTAAAAGCATGACAAGGCTCAGCTAAAATTACCTGATGCCAATAAAAGAAAACTTACTTGGTATGCATACAGAGATGTTACTAATTTTTAAGGTGACAGTGCAAACATTTTTCCTTTTCAGTCACTATAAGTGTACAGAAGTTATTGTCAAAATGGCCAATTAAGAGAACGAACATCTTTAAAGAGAAATGCACTTTTTGACTAGCTCTAATGATTAGAAGCACATGATTAGCGCAAATAAACAAAGAAAAGACATTAATTCTCAACGACTCATACTTGTTGGGGACGGTCAGTTTAATATATATATATATATATATATATATATATATATATATACATACAATCAATCTTTACTACAGAGCAGCGAGTTCGATCTTCATTGGATGTACATCAATCATTTAAATGTGGTTTCGAGCGA